TTGAGAGTGATGACATCAGACACGTGAATCGAGGAGATTTCTACAAATGCTGGGGGAGCAGCTGGGTCCTCCTGCTCGCTGACAGCAAATGGGGAAGAGAGATGATTTGAAGGTAGAATTGTTGAGCAAAAAGGAACCAGAACTCAAAGAGTTGGTTGAGTTAAAGGATTTGAGAATTAAAATTCCAGCCTCCTCATATCTCAAAAAAATGAGATTGGTGGGCTTGGAACAGACCATCACAAGCGGGCTGTGGCCGCCTGATAAGGAGAGACAAGTGTGGGGCTGAGCCATGGACTGACGAACCATCTCAGCCACAGCTGGGAGCAGAGAGAAGGAACTGTACAGCCGGGCACTGCCAGATGGAACCAGGAGCAGAGAAAACAGGATAAAATGAAAGCAGACTGCGTGTCTTAAGCCCCATAAGCGAGGCCATAGAGCTATTCAGCCATGAACACATGCCATTCTTCAAGATTTTGAGGGAAGAAGGACCCTGAAGGGCAGGGCCATCAGAGTGCTGCTCTCACTCCAGAAGGAGTCCATGGACTATCAGACACAAAATTCTCAGCTGGAATATTGATTAAAAAATAAAACTGGCAATAACTAATAGAAAAAAATCAACAAGGAATCTGTAGTTCCTTTTGTGTGATAAGGTTTTAAAACAGAGGGTTTAGGAAAGCTCAGAGCAGCATGTGTGTGCGTGACTTCAGCAAAGCACCTGCTACATTTTTACGAATGGCCGTATGATCAAGAATGCGGTTGTGGAGAAGAAAATGGATCGTTGGTGGGTCTGTGCCGACTGGAGTGTCCAAAATGGATCAGCGGGTGGGTCTGTGCCGACTGAGCGTCCAAAATGGATCAGCGGGTGGGTCGGTGCTGACTGAGTCGCCCAAAATGGATCAGCGGGTGGGCCCAGCGAATGAGCATCCATGGCCCCTAAGGACAGATCCAAGTGCTTGTCCAAGCATGAGCCGGGTTCGAAGACATGGTGTCCAATACTGGGACACCAAGCCGGGTGATGCCCCGAGGCACAACCACTACAGCAGACCCCACTGCTAGACAGCCCCAGGCTCCTCAGATACAGGACGACAGCACTAAGCTGCATTCTGAAGTTAAATTATGAGGCTGGCCTGTGGAAGACTGGCCCTTTATCTGACCAAAGCATAACAAGGTGTCAGTGAAAAGGGCATTTACGTAACAGCTGCGATGAGCCACTGTGCTCCAGGCTGTGTGTGTTTCCACTCCAATCTTCCCAAATCCCTAACCAAGGGATATGTCTGTCCCAGATAGAAGAAACAAGTGGCTTGTCCCAGGACACAACTTCTGGATCACAGCGAATTCGCTGGCCCCCACACAGCAGAGTTTCTCTCTCTCTTTCCCACTCCTGCCACTGACTTCCAGACCTGCCTGCAAAATTCACAGTGGCATGGCTCATGCGCGGCCAGCCCTCTGCACGGAACCCCACTCACACCCTGCCATGGAGCCTCACCTGCAGGACTGGGTGCCACTCTGTCTCTAACTTCAGGACAACATAAAGAATCAGAGTGTGCTCCGAGGAGGTTGGCTAGGGGAGAGGCCACACCACGTGTGGGATGGGAGGGGAGCAGTGACCATCTGCCTCCCGCACAGGCGCCCTGGTACAGCACTCCTCAGCCCCACAGGCCAGCAGAACGGACTCTGCTACACTTGGGTGGAAAGAATCCCGTGGGCCAAGTGACGTGGGAAGTCATTAGAACTCTCCCAGCAACAAAACCATCTGCCCCAAGGATGCACTGAGATTCCAGTCGAGGCTTGAACACTACAGAGAGGGACTCAGTGCCCTGAGGGGTGAGGTCCCTGGACTGAGGCTTCCAACCATGCTGATGTGCTGTGAACCTCATGGAGGGCATGTGGGACCTGTCCCCCATCTGTCCATTGTCCACATCCACCAATCCTCACCATCTGTCAATCCACCCATCTCTCACCCATCTGTCAATCCACCCATCACTTATCCATCCGTCCATCCACCCATCTGTCCATCTACCCATTACTCACCCATCACTACTCACCCATCCATCCATCCACCCATCACTCACCCTCGGTCCATCCATCCATCACTCACCCATCCATCCATCCACCCACTCACCCTCGGTCCATCCATCCAACACCACGCATCCGTCCATCCACCCATCACCCACCCATCCGTCCATCCACCCATCTGTCCATCCACCCATCACTCACTCCTCAGTCCATCCACCCACTCACCCTCAGTCCATCCACCCATCACTCACCCCTCAGTCCACCCATCCATCACTCACCCCTCGGTCCATCCACCCATCTGTCCATCCACCCATCACTCACCCATCCGTCCCTCCACCCATTACTCACCCATCTGTCCATCCACCCATTACTCACCCATCTGTCCATCCACCCATCACCCACCCCTTGGTCCATCCATCCATCACTCACCCATTTGTCCATCCACCCATCACTCAACCATCTGTTAATCCACCCATCATTTGTCCATTGCTCCCTCCACCCATCAGTCACCCATTGGTCCATCCACCCATCACTCACCCATTGGTCCATCCACCCACCTACCCACCCACTCAGCTGCCTGCCCAGCCATCTGTCCAGCACACCCATCCAGGTGCTAGGCACTTCCTCTGTGCCAGGCCCAGGAAGGTCACTGCATGTGGAAGCTGAGGAGATGGGAGATGGTTGTGACTTTGGTGACACAGGTGATCCCAGGTGACGTGGTTTGGATTTGTGTCCCCACCCAAATCTCAGGTCAGACTGGAAGCCCGAGTGTTGGAGGAGGGGCCTGGGGGGAGGTGAGGGGATCACGGGGGTGGACATCCCCATTGCTGTTCTTGTAACAGTGAGTTCTCACGAGGTCTGGTTGTCTGGACATGTGTGGCACCTGCCCCCATCATGTAGGAGGTGCCTCCTTCCTTCCTCTTTGCCCTCCCACCATGATTGAAAGTTTCTTGAGGCCTCCCCAACCATGCTTCCCGTACAGCCTGCAGAACTGTGAGTCAATCAATCTTCTTTTCCTTATAAATTACCCAGGTTCAGGTAGCTCTTCATAGCAACGTGAGAACTAACACACCAGGCTACGGGGATGGGGAGGCTGGGAAGCGCCTGGGGGAGGACACTTCCAAGGTAAACAGGGTCTGCCAGACTAATGCGCAAGGCTGCTCCCGGCAGAGGAAGGAAGAGCTGGAGCTGTGGTGCGGGGTGCATGGCCTGGGAGAGGCTGAGCAAGGTTGGAGAGCGGTGCATGCAGCAAGCTGATCACGGAGGGCCTGGTCAGCGTCTTTCAGAACCTGGGTTTTGTGTGTGATGACCTCACCCTCTCCAAGGCTCCTCGACTCTGGCCTCCGCTGTGTTTGTTCCTGCTATGAGAGGGCTGGGAAGAGGCAAGCTGATGCCTGACACACTGTCTTGGCCACCTTGAGGCCTTGTGCCATCTGCACAGTATCCAGGGACCTCAGACCCAGGGACAGCACCTGGAGGGACCTCAGACCCAGGGACAGCACCTGGCACACTTGCTGGGGAGAAGACGCTGTGGTGGGTGGTGGCCCACGAGTGCGTATGTGTGTGGTTGAGAATGTGTGTGCATGCCTGCACATGTAAGCGTGTTGTGTTCAATTGCACATGTGTGCAGGTATTGTTGCCTTGCTTGTCTGCACACACATGTACCTGTGTGTTCATTTCATGCATGTATGGCTGGGAACGTGTGTGTACATGGCTATGCATACGTGTGTACATGCCTGTGTGTCTGTGTATGCCTGGAACTGCATACACCCAGGGCATGTGGGGCTGGAGAACAGGCGTGGCCAAGCTCACAGATGAGCAGGTGCACGGACACTCAGGCAGGACTCGTTTCCAGGCCAAGGTACACTTGACACTTCTGGGTTAAATCAGGGGAATGAAAGAAAAGAAGAAAATCTAACAGGCATAACTCCACGCACATTCTGCTCCATTTCCATTCTGAGTGGGACTCAAGGGACCTGTCATATGATCTCCAAGAGCAGATCTGAGTTCTACCAGACCCTAGCATAGAAACAAACGCAGCTGCTTCGCCCCCCCACCCCGCCGTGGGCTCTTCTTGTCTCTGCCTCTCCTGAATTACAGACCTCAAACCACTGTTCCTATGTTGTCTAATTGGGCTTACCTGGATTGCTATTTCAATTCTGTAAAGCAATTCAATGTCACAGATAATGATACTGTAAATAAATTTGAAACACACAGTGTGCCTGGCACTGTTTCAAATCTATATACAGTATCATTATCTGTGACACTGAATTGCTTTACAGAATGAGATGGCATGTGTGCACACATACATGCATGCTCAAACACGTGCCCAAAGACATGCATGCACTCACACACATGCCCACACATTTCCACACATGCACAAATGCACACACGCTCATGTGTCCACACATTCACACACACTCATACATGTGTCCACACAGTCGCACATGCTCAAACATGTGTCCACACATTCCCACACACTCACACACGTCCACACATTCATGCACACTCACGTGTCCACATTCACACACACTCATACATGTGTCCACACATTCATGCACATTCACACATGTCCACACATTCACAAGTTCACACATGCCAGACACATGCACACATCTCATACGTGTCTGCACACATGCATACACACATACGTGTCCACACACATGCACTTGTCCCTCTGGAAAACACAAAGGAATGAAAAAATAGGGTCCTCTAAAGAAATCTGGCAGTACAGAGGTTACAAGTTAAATTCCATCTAAAAATTATCTATAGAACCTGTTATCAAGGTAACTGTCCCCCAAATAGCTGCCTACCCTGCAAAAAGCTTTTCACATCTATCCATCCGCGCTACAAACACAACTACATGTAGCCCACACTACACGAGAGGCTCAGACCACAGGTTTTCACCCCGCAGCATGCTCCTGTGGCCAGGGCCTCGCCAGGCGTCCCCTCGCTGCACGGATTGGTGTGCCGGGCAGACTCACCCTGCATCTTCTCCAGCTTGCTCATGTACGAGTTGAAGAGGGAGTAGATACGCTCTGTCTCACGGTCCCCGTCAATGTCCAGCTGGATGTTGGCTGGGAGGCCGCTGTCCAGACACATCAAGAACAGAAAGATAAAAATACTTAAACGATGCTTTTAATAATGACATTAATTTTTAAAATGTCACTGAAGAAAGATGACAATAATGTTGGAAGTGAAACTCGAGACAGGACCTATTTGCCGTCCGTCTGTACACAGCTAGCGTGCTGGCTTGCTGAGCAAGTCTGGTGGTATCCACAGCAGCACAGGCAGCTGTGTCACCAGGCCGGCCGCGAGCCGGAACGAACCAGCAACCTCTGCTTCAGTTACCATCAGCCTATTTGGACACTCGGCAAAAGATCCTCGCTGTTCAGTATTTAAAATGTGCTTATCGTTTGTACTAACTGATCTTTCCTGAAATCATGCAGTACTGAGTTACGTCTTGTTTAAATCTATTCCTACTCCAGAATTTTCTCAATACATAAGAAATTTAGGAAGATTAGGTGCTAAAGTCCCCAGCGTAATACTTGTACATTTTTAGTATCATACAGAACTAAATTCCCAGGAACTATGAACACTCCAGACCTCAGGTGGTTTATTCCTTCAGTCATTTCAAAAACGGAAGGAGGCTGTGCGGTTATTTCCCTGCTCACTCTATGTCCGCTTCTCCTACGTTCACCCCAGCACACGTCAGGCTGGAGTGCAGTGGCGTGATCTCAGCTCACTGAAACCTCTGCTTTCCAGGTTTTTTTTTTTTTGAGACGGAGTCTCGCTCTGTCGCCCAGGCTGGAGTGTAGTGGCCGGATCTCAGCTCACTGCAAGCTCTGCCTCCTGGGTTTATGCCATTCTCCTGCTTCAGCCTCCTGAGTAGCTGGGACTACGGGCGCCCGCCACCTCACCTGGCTAGTTTTTTGTATTTTTTAGTGGAGACGGGGTTTCACCATGCTAGCCCATGTTGGGATGGTCTCGATCTCCTGACCTCGTGATCTGCCTGTCTCGGCCTCCCAAAGTGCTGGGATTACAGGCTTGAGCCACCGCGCCTGGCCTGCTTTCCAGGTTTAAGTGATTCTCCTGCCTCAGCCTCCCGAGTAGCTGGGATTATAGGCGTCCGCCACCATGCTGGCTAATTTTTGTATTTTTAGTGGAGATGGGGTTTCACCATGTTGGCCAGGCTGGTCTTGAACTCCTGACCTCAGGTGATCCACCCGCCTCGACCTACCGAAGTGCTGGGATTACAGGTGTGAGCCACTGAGCCCGGCCTCATGTCTTTTAATAAATCTTACTTGTCTTATTATGAAAAACCTCCAAAGCTGGGTGTGGTGGCTCACGCCTGTAATCCCCGCACTTCTGGGAAAGGAGAAGTGGCTGAGAAAGGAGAATTGTTTGAACCCGGGAGGTGGAGGTTGCAGTGAGCTGAGATCACACCACTGCACTCCAGCCTGGGCAACAGAGCGAGACTCCATCTAAAACAAAAAAGAAAAGAAAAGAAAATCTACACTGTGCAGAAGCATGTCTTTGACGGCTTCAGACACGGGGGCTCACGGTTAATTTAACATTTGCACTCAGGTGCAACCAACAGGGAGGGCTTGATAGGAATGCGCGGGGCTGTTAATTATTTTTAGCAAATTCTGCCTTGCGCAGAACATGTGAAATATGCTCTTAAATTTAGTAAATACTTTTTAAAATGCCGAAATGCTTCTTATAGCTAAAACAATTCTTAAATCATAAAATTTCTGACGCTTCCGCGATGTTTGCCACACTGATTAGAAACTGTTTCACCAACTTATTTTTGTTTGAAGTGTGGTAGTTTTCCCCTTTTCTTCCCAACCTCTCTTGCAAAAAAAGGAGTGAGTTTCTGCCAATGAATTGAACAGACGTCCAATGTTGTATACACCTTTTGAGCTGAGTAGCTCAGTATTTGGATACTTGGTCATTTGTTTCATTATGTAATTGATAAAATGGCGTCATTTATTCATGTTAGTTCAACCATATATGTATGCTGTCTGGGGATGGGCGGTTATACTTCTGTGTGAGAAATAATTTGTCAGTCTTCAACAGTTTGTAAAAACTTAGTGGTGAGAGCTTCAACATAGAAATAAATAATGAAATGCACTTATCATCAAAAAAGAAAAAAAAAAAAAGGAAAGAAGAAGATGAAGCGACCGACATTAAAACACATCCCTGGCCAGTCAGGGGGTTCATGTCAGTAATCCCAGCACTCTGGGAGGCCGAGACAGAAGGATCACTTGAGCCCAGGAGTTTGAGACAAGACCACCCTGGGTAACACCGGGAGACCCTTACAGTGAGATTTGGACAACATAGTGAGACCCCCTCTCTACAAAAAACAAAATTTAGTGAGCTGGGCGTGGTGGCACCCGCCTGTAGTCCCAGCTACTCGGGAAGGTGACGTGGGAGGATTGTTTGAGCCCAGAAGTTCGAGACCAGTCTGGGCAATGTGGTGAAACCTCGTTTCAACAAAAAACCTTAAAACAATTAGCCTGGAGTGGTGGAGCACAGCTGTAGTCCCAGGTACCTGGGAGGCTGAGGTGGGAGGATGGCTTGAGCCTGGGAGGTGGAGGCCTGAGATTGCACCACTGCACTCCAGCCCGGGCGACAGAACGAGATCCCGTCTCAAAAACATAAAACTAAAAAAGCATCCCTGAGCTGGGAGAGCTGAGGCTGGCTGCAGGTGTGTGGGACAGGGGAGGCTCCCGAGCTGTGCGGTCTCAGCGGCTGGAGACTCTTGGGACCCACAGATCTGCCAAGGCAGCGAGCAAATTCGGCAGATGTTTTCTCGTGGGGAGAAATGGCCTGGAAGGAAGCCTCCTGGGGCTCTGTCCCCGGCAGGGTCGGCTACAGCTGGGGGTGGGCCAGGTTTCCTCTCCTCCCCAGGCTGCAATGCTTCCCGCTCTCCCGGGATTCGAGGATACAGGAGCGCGCTGGCCTCTCCTGGGGGTCCTGGGGCGGTGGCCACGCATGCCTGGACGGCAGCCAGACCTTCCTCCTGAGCTTCAGCCTCTATGTCCACGAAGCAGGATCTAAGGTCCCACCTCAGAGGCTGTGGGAGGATTGAACAGTGGCCCGGTGTGGAGCACAGCTCATCCTCCGCAGGGCCCTTACGTGAGGCCATCAAGTGGCCAAGACAACAGTGAGGTGCATCTCACAGAACATAACCGGGGACGCCAGGCACCCCGGCCTCCTTCTAGGACCGGCAGACATGACCCTAGTCTCTGTGGAACTGCCGGAGGCCCAGCTGACGAGCGGCCGGGAAGACAACGGGCTGCTGCGTCACACGGAATCAAGATGGGTGTCCTGGGCCAGATGAAACTTTCAGGGAGGGGTTTGCTCCCACACTCCTCCTAGAGAAGTAGGATGGCCACGGAGTGGGGAGCCCCTGTTCACCCTGACCTCCCACTCCCCCAGGGCAGGGCCCCAGGAGGACCCTCGAAGGCCTGCAGCACCCTTGAGTCTGCACAGAGCCTTTGAGAGACTGGGCCCCAGATGCCCCCTTGGGTGGGAGGCCCCCTCAGGTGGGAGGCTCCTGGGACGAGGCGAGTGCAGCCTCGTTTATTTGTGGCTTACAGGCAGACATGCACTGTCCACTGGTCCCTCCCTACTTGGCCCCTTGGCCACACTTCCTGCACAGTGCACACGCCGGGCGCCGAGGCACAGACCTACCCGGTGCAGGGCGAGCAGCCTGGAGCCGAGTCCGAGGGCGCCCTACAGCACAGCCAGTGGCCACTCAGGTAGGCGGACGGGTGGTAGACAGTGAGGCGCTTCTGGTTGCACTGGCTCACTTTGGTGAGAATGTCGATCCAGTCCTTGGCCTCCACGCAGTTGTTGGCCTGGATGTACAGCGCGCGCTCCGGCTGGATGACCTGGAACATCTGAGGACGCAGGTGGGCTCAGGACGGTGCACACGAGGTCTCGTGGATGAGCGCATGCAAGCGTCCGCCAGGCACCTGGCTGTCCTCGCTGGAGCCGTAAGAGGGGACGCCGAGGGTGCACAGGCCCAGGCGTCTCGGAGCTCTAAGCCCCAGAAGAGGCCAAGGCTCGGGGGTGCGCGGAGCTCTCTGCCACCCTTAAACCTGACAGCTGCGGCCGTGGGGGATGGAGGTGAGAACTGGTGTGGCTGGAGACATGGCTGGGTGGCCAGGAACAGCTTGACCAAGGTGCTTTATGTGCTGGAGCCTTGGAGGTCTCCACTCAAAAGGCAGAAGAGAGGCCTGTGGCCTCCCCATGAGGCAGGCGTCCACCCACGCGGAGCTCCTGTGGTGTCAGCCCAGGTGGCCCGACCTGCTCAGCTCCTCCCCTACCCGACCAGCCCAGGGTGCTTCCTCCTCTTCCCAGCTGGGGTTAGGGGGCTCCTTTCTCTTGAAGCGTCTCGGGGCAGCAACAACCTTTGCCATTTACTACTCATTCAACACACATGACCAAGCACCAGCACTCTCCTAGGTCCCGGAGACAACGCCTGGCCTAGAGTTTCTGCTGAACCTGCAGCCACCAAGAAAGACTAAACAAGGGCAGGTGTCAGCAGGGGCTGGAAGCGAGTAGTGCTGGTGCTGCGGTTGGGGCTGACTCAAAGTTAGTCAAGCAGGGGGTGGGGGCAAAGGGTATTAAAGGCAGAAGAAATGGGAGGCACAAAGGTCCTGGGGCAGGGGGGACAGGGGTCCTGTGATAGGAGGGATGGGGGTCCCAGGGCAAGGGGGATGGGGGTCCTGTGATTGGAGGAACAGGGGTCCCAGGGCAGGAGTGACAGAGGCCCTAGGATTAGAAGGACGGGGGCCCTGGGGCAGGGGGGACAGGGATCCTAGGATCGGAGGTCAGAAGCTCGCAGAAGGAGCCGGCTCTGCTGCACACAGAAGACAGGTTTTCTGAGCAGGAGGCTGACTGGAGGCTGGGAGGTCTCTTATGTGGGACTTGCTCTTGAGTCAGGAGACAGGGGGACAGTGGCCTTCTCTAGGGGACAGGCCTTCTGCACTGGTCTGGGGAGGATCTGGGGCCTTCTCTAGCAGACAGGCCTTCACTGCTCCTTGAGTTGAGCCTTCTGCTGGTCTGGGGAGGATCCTGGGAGGCCTTCTGCAGACGGGCCTTCCGCTGTTTTGCCGAATGGGGACTTGGGCTCAGGTTTCTCTGAGGTGTTCAGCTGAGGAGTCTTCTTCACTGGTCTGGGGAGGATCTGGGGCCTTCTCTAGCAGACAGGCCTTCCGCACTGGTCTGGGGAGGACTTGGGCTCCAGGTTTCTGGTGAACAGCTGAGGTCTTCTTTACAGAGGCCAGGAGCCACCTGCCTTGCACCTGGCACACGTGTGCAGGTCTCGGACTGGACACCCCCATCCATGGCTGTGATCACCCACGGAGGGCATCCCGGCCATCAACCCAGGCTTGGCCCTGCCTCCAGGAGCAGCCTTCAGAAAGGTTTCCCCAGCTGGTGAGAGTCTGGCCTGGCAGCAGCCCCAGGGGAATTGGGCTCTGAGGAAGTCAGAGGGAATGAACAGCTGGGAACAGGCGGCTGAAACGAGGGGATTATTGGGAATCTATGTGAAGGCTGGAAGTGCTTCCAGGACATTTCCACACTACTTCCTCCGAGGGATGGTCTCAGGGCCGGGTCCCGGCCATCCCCTCAGTCACAGGCACTGAGCCCACACCCTCCTCTTCCCACCGCCCCCTCTTCCCAACCCTCCTCTTCCCACACCCTCCTCTTCAAAATACTCTACAAACTTAGGCCTTTTGCGGGATCCGTCTGGACTGCCCGTGAATAACACGCTAGCAGAATTCTGCCCACAGTAAGGAACGTGCATTGACTTTGGCACGAGGCCCAGGGACTGTGCCTTCCCTGCAACTGTTCTATGGCCCTGACGCTGCAGTCGGGGCACAGGAGGCTCGTCCCAGCCAGCACGTGTCAGGGTACAGGGTCAGCCTCAGGATGGCACAGATGGCGGGGGCACTGAGTCACCGGGAAGAACGTGGCCAGTGGCTGACTCTGGGAGGCCACCACACAATGACAATACCATGGACACCTCTAGGGGATTCCTGCCAAAAATTCATCATCAGAACCTGCCACGTCGGCACAAACCCACAGGGAGGGACGTCCACAAAACCGAAGGCCTGCACACCTCAAAAATGCCAAGGCCACGACACACAAAGAAAGGCCGGGAGTGTCCAGTCGGCCAGACCAAGGGGCAGCAGAATGCAGTGTGGACTAGATCTGGAGAGGAAGAAACCACAGCCGGAGGAACAGGACCAGACGGCGGCAAATGCAAACGCAGCCGTGCCGGAGACGCCCGATGGGCGGCTGCTGTGGTTTCAGGGTCCGCACTGTGGGAAACACTCAGAAGCGTTGATACCGTTCAGAAAAGCACAGGCAGGACCCGTGGAGGGAGAAGGAATGAATGTGACTGGGGAACGAGGCCACATGTGGGTCTGGGTCAAGCGTGTGTGAAAAGTGCTTGTTCTACTCGTGCAACTTCTATAAATTCAAAATTATATCGAAATAAAAAAGCTTCCAAAAGGAATTCCAGACGGTCCCAAGCCTGCTTCTGGGATGTCTTTGACGAGGGCACCTTGACCTTGGGGACCCTGCGGGGGACGTCCCCTGGAGCAGCTCAGGCCCCACCTTCCGGCAGGTTCCACCCCACCCTGGTGACCCCGGACACAGAGAGTGTGGCTGCTTTGAGGCGAGATTCCGACATAAACTCTCCAGCACCTGGTGAGCACCCCCAGTAACACGGAGACTGAGAAGCCTGGAGTGCAGAGGGTGGGGAAGGGTGAGCCCTGGGCCAGGCACGGGAAGAGAACAGAGAAAACCTGGCCAGGCCTCAACCCGAAAGAGAGGCTTGGGGGCACCACACTCACGTTTTTCATTTTGAAAGACTCCTCCTCCAGCTTCTCCACTGCCAGGATGTTCTCGATGGGAATGCTGTAGAGAGGCTGGTCCCCTGCGGCAGGGAGGGGGGGTTGGCAGATGCGGCCCTGCTGTCCCGGCTGGGGTATGGTGGGGCTGAGGGGTCTCTACCGGGGGATCTCTGCCTGGGGGGGGTCTCTGCTAGGAGGATCTCTGCTAGGGGTCTCTGCTGGGGGTTCTCTGCTGGGGGTCTCTGCTGGCAGGGGGATCTCAGCTCAGGGTGGTCTCTGCTGGGATGTTCTGAGCACGAGGAGGTGCCCCACATTCCTCTCCTTGGGCGTGATGGCTGAATCACTGACAGGCTGCAGGTGCGGAGGCTGAGGGGGCCTGGGACCCACCCGGCCCTGCCACGCACCCAGGCTGGGCCCAATCCTCGCATCCTCACTGCTGCTGTGGCCTCAGGCTCTGTCCCCAGAACATGTCCCCGTTCTCGTAGGGAGAAACGGCTCGATATTTACTAATCCAGATCTGAGCCAGCATTTCTGACAGCAGTGGGCAGGAGGTGGTGGGAAGCCCCGTCTACCTTGGGGGAGCAGCACCCTGGCCGTGACGAGGCGACCAGAGGAGGAAGGGACGTGGACGGAAAAGCACCTTACTGATGCGGTCGGCTCTGCGTTTACTGGTTCTCTGGGGAAGCAGGTTTTCCTCACTTTCCAGCAGCAGGTCTGAAAGACCCCTTCAGGGATCTTTGAAGGCAGAGCCGCAAGCAGAGGGCTCTGGGTCACTGCGACCCCAGGCTCTGCCGGCAGCACCAAATCCTTCCTCCCCTCAGTTCTCCCCGTGAAAAGCAGACTCAGTCCCAGGGCCCAGCACGCTCCGGCGGGAGCCCAGGAACGTGGCCTTGCTCCTTACCTTTGCTTTTGTGGTAGGTAAATTCATGGTTGGTCAAGCGAAACCATCTCTTCTTAAAATTCTTCATCCCAAAGCGCTTCCGTCCTTGCGCCCTCTTGATCATGAGCCTGTGGGAAGAGCACAGGGCTGAGGTCCGGGCCTCAGCCACCTCCCTGCACAGGTGCAAAGCCACATCCCCCAATGTTGTGCGTTCTGAGACCTGAGGCGGGCAGTGGATTTTCCGTATCTTATCATTTTACTCCGAGTGATGAGATTAAAATTGGAAGGCAATGCCTCTCCTTTGAAAAGTTGAGCACTGACTGCTTTGAGTCACCAGTTGGTGATGGCACCAGGTTTCAGGAGATCTCCAACCCTCCCGCCTCCCACACTGAACTTTCAACAGCGGTGCCGCCGGACATGCCAACACGTGATGCTCCCATGGAGGACCCAAGGCCGTGGGCTCGGGGTCAGGGGTCAGGGTCAGGGTGGGCCACAGGCTGGGGGTCAGGGGTCAGGGCAGGCAGCGGGCTCGGCGTGGGGCGGGCAGCAGACGCCCACAAAACCCGCACCTGTGGTGTGCAGGAGTCACGCCCCGGTGCCTCTGCCAGACCAAACCTGCCCCCCTCAGGGCCAGCCCTGCTGTGGCAGAAGGCGCCACTGGGCCACGTCCTCAGGAGATGTGGGGAGCCGGAGACAGGACGGCCACCGAGGATGCAAGGCCTCAGCGAGGACGACCTTACGCCTTGCCCCAGGCAGGGTCCGCAAACGCGAGGACAACCTTAGGCCTTGGCCCAGGCAGCATCCTCGACCGTGAGGACGACCTTAGGCCTGGCCCCAGGCAGGGTCCTCCAACGCCCTCCTGGCAGCCCAGGGCCCTCCGAGGCTCGGCCTTCATCGCCGGATGCAGTCCCTGACCAGAACTGGTGGCCGAGCTGGAGGAGAAGAAAGTGGCCGGACAGAGTGGCTGGAGGACAGAGGTGGGAGCTGAGAAGGAGGAGCCAAGCTGGAGAGACAGGATGGGGAGGTGGGCGGGGGAGACGCACACTCAGAAATCGGAATGAGGGGCTTTGGGCAACTACACAGCCAGATGTGGCCAGAGAGCTGCGGACGTACATGGGAGGGTGCGGAAGCCGCTGGGAGCCGCTGGGACAGCGCAGTTCACAACCAGCGGATGCAGAACGCCATTCATTCCGGGGATTCGCAGGCAGGAAGTCAGCCCCGGAGGCTGTGGAGGACCAGCGGGACGCAGCCGGACGTGCAGGGCGGGGCCCACACAGACAGGTGGGGGGACCAGGAGCTCCACGGGGTGCCGGCTTCCTTGAGGGCAAGGGGACGCCTCTGACAAGACTCTGGACCACGCAGCAGTTAGATTTGAGTGGTAGTCTTGTTATAAATGTGTTTGGCTTTAGGATTTTTTTAAGAACCCCAACTTTCTGAGAGCCTTCAGTGGATGAGGCTGCATGTGAATTTTATACGCAGGTTTCCAGGTCAAGGCAGCGCTGAGTGGAGAGAAACCGGTGGCTCCTCACTGCACGGCTCTGGTCTGGGCGCCTGGCTCTCCAGGAGTCAGTTTTCTAACCGGGACCATCGTGTGTGGGACGGGGAGGCAGGAGCCACGGCTGAGCCGGAAGCCTCAGGCTAAAACCAACTCGGCCCCGCACGGCCACAGCCAACTCAACTCAGCAAACACAGGCTGCACTGCAGAGGCCCCGTCCCCGGTCCTATGTCCCAGTGGGTGAGGACAACTCAACTCAGCAAACACAGGCCGCACTGCAGAGGCCCCGTCCCGGTCCTGTGTCCCAGTGGGTGAGGACAACTCAACTCAGCAAACACAGGCCGCACTGCGGAGGCCCCGTCCCCGGTCCTATGTCCCAGTGGGTGAGGCCAACTCAACTCAGCAAACACAGGCCGCACTGCGGAGGTCCCGTCCCCGGTCCTGTGTCCCAGTGGTGAGGACACACAGCCCCAAGAAACGACAGAGGTGTGGGAGCACAGCGTGAGCCCTCAGGAACCATGGTCATCACCACCTCCACACATGGACAAACATGGCCAGACACACCTGCCACCAAGGGCTGAGACAGCAGAACCGAGGCCTCAGGACGGCCCACGCTTGCACAACCAAGGGCGGCCCTGGGTTTGAGGACGTGACAGAGCTGCAGTGCCGGAGGAGAGGCTGATCCAGGGGACCGGAAACTCGAGGGTCCTGAGGGACCCAAACCTTGGCCTGAGCCTCAGGTGGTGCAGCTTCTGGAAGGAGCTGGTGGAGCCCAGGGCACCTGGGAGGTGCTTGTCCTTGAACGTGTATCTACAGCAGCTTCTCAGCATCAGGCACATAAGCCCTGAGTGTCTTGTGTTGCTTTAGGGATTATAGGATGAATATTTGTTGCTTTTAAAGTTGTGAATTTATGAAATGTAGAAAGTAAAAAGTTCCTCCTCAAAGTTTCTTGTTAAAGAATAAATCATATTAAAAATAATAGTTTCTTTTAAAGCTAACTTCCTTCAAGTCTCCTTGCTTTGCGCTAATAACTCTTTGTTAACTAATCTCTATCCTATGTAGCTGCTGGACATGCCCACAGGCTTGTAATACATTCTGTGTCCTTGTACCTTAACCAAGATATTTGTGTTAGACGTACTAATAGGCATGTCCCAGCTCACAGCCTATGCCCCTTCCTTATTTAAAAATATTATTATTTTTCTACCTATTTAAAAAAGTTTTAAATCATTAGCCAGTCAGGTTGTAATTTAGATTGCGAGGTCTGGCTCCAGCCAATGGAGACAGGACACACAATAGGACCTCATGCGTAAGGAATCAATATTCTGGCATCTCTTTATTCTATGTGTGCCCTCGCCATTATTCCATCTGCGAGGGACACCCTTTCTGCAGAAAGTAAAAATTGCCTCACTAAAAGAACTTTTTGTCTAAATGCTAATTTTCCCTTATGGCACCGAAGAACAAACATTTTGCATTTCTAACATGAAATGTGTGTATTACAAATGCTATTGGTTAATATATGATTAAGTTAAATGAAAGTGATTTTAAGAAAAATAGCAACGTAACTAATGCTGCCACTGGGGTATGGTCCACCAGTGACCCAGGGATGTTCCAGGTTTGAGCAAATGGCTCTAACAGAGTATCCACAAAAATAGACAAATGGGACTTAATTAAACTAAACAGCTTCTGCACAGCAAAATAAATAACCAACAACGCAAACAGATAACCTGCAGAATGGGAAGATATTTGCAAACTACAGATCCAACAGGGGACCAATAGCCACAATTCAGAAGGAACTCAAAGAGCTTACCAATAAATAAATAAATAAATAACCCATTTAAAAGTGGCCAAAGGACGTGAATAGACATTTTTCAGAAGAAGACAAATGGCCAACAAACATACGATATAAAGCCCAGCGTGGCTCATCACCCGAGGAATGAGAACCAGAGCCGCCTGACCCCTACCTCACGCCAGGCAGAACAGAGCCTCCTGCAACCCCAGCTCATGCCAGGCAGAATGGAGCCTCCTGCAACCCCAGCTCACAGCAGACGGAGCCACCTGATCCCAGCTCACGTCAGGCAGAACAGAGCTGTCTGCGACCCCAGCTCATGCCAGACGGAACGGCGCTGCCTGCAGCCCCAGCTCACGCCAGGCAGAACAGAGCCACCTGACCCCAGCTCACGCCAGGCAGAACGGAGCCACCTGACCCCAGCTCATGCCAGACAGAACGGCGCTGCCTGCAGCCCAGCTCACGCCCAGGAAGAGACAGAGCCACTGGAAACCCCAGCTCCACCGCCAGGCAGAGACGGAGCTACCTGACCCCAGCTCATGCCAGGCAGAGCGGAGCCACTCGACCCCAGCTCACCAGGCAGAATGGCTGTGATCAAATAAAATGCGTAAGAATGACAGACGCTGTCAGGGCTGTAGAGGGCGCGACGCCTGCCTTTGTGGGAATGGAAATTAGTGTAAGGAAACCCACGGAGATTTCTCCAAAGGCTAAAAGCAGAGCCGCCATTCGATCTAGCAATCCCACACAAAGGAGGAGCAATTACCATAAAGACACGTGCACCGCGTCGTTTCCCACTGAACCACTCGTACTTACGAACCACCCCGGAATCCATGTGGCCACCCAGCGAGTGACAAAATGTGGCATAAATACAGAACAGAGCCACTCGACCCCAGCTCACGCCAGGCAGAACGGAGCTACCTGACCCCAGCTCATGCCAGGCAGAACGGAGCCACTCGACCCCAGCTCACACCAGGCAGAATGGCTGTGATCAAATAAAATGCGTAAGAATGACAGACGCTGTCAGGGCTGTGGAGGACGCGAGCGCCTGCACGCTGTGGGGAATGGAAATTAGTGCTTAAGGAAACCCACGGAGATTTCTCAAAGAGCTAAAAGCAGAGCCGCCATTCGATCTAGCAATCCCACACAAAGGAGGAGCAATTACCATAAAGACACGTGCACACGTACGTTTCCCACTGAACCACTCACAATAGCACAGACACGGAATCCATGTGTCCACCAACGGGTGACAAAATGTGGCATAAATACACCACAACATGCTACTCCGCTGTCAAGAAGAAGGAAATCGTATGTTTTCCAGCAACATAAATGGAGCTAGAGGTTGTTATCTTAAGGGAGATGGCTCAGAAACGAAAAGCCAAATGCCCCTTGTTCTCACTGGTACGTGGGAGCTAAACACGGCAGGGCGGGGCTCTCTGGGACACGTACTGAGGCCTCACAAGGGTGGGAGGTGAGAGTGGGAGAGGAACGAGAAACTACTCAGTGGGCGCAAAGTCTCTGTTCAGGTGACGGTTACACTCGAAGCCCCGTCCAATACAACTGCATTTGTGCCCTTAACATGTGTGCAAACACATAAAAATACAGGAGCATGGGCCACACCAAGCAGAGCAAAGCCCCGACCGGGAGCGGGAGCTGGGCCACAGGACGGGGTTGGAGGAAATGGGCAGATGTGTCAACATCTATGTAAGGAAGGGTGATGGGCTCTGACGCTCCAGGGTCCACTGGGTGGAGGCCGAGGGAGGACAGGCCTGTGCCAGAAACATGGGGTGGCTGTGGAGCATAGACGACCCCGTCCAAGGTCAGCGAGAAGGCAGTGGAGGGGTCCCAGGCTGAAGGCGCAGGGGCCAGGCTCCCAGGGCCGTCCCCTCTGACCCTGGTTCCCCTGGAGGGAAGGCCGGCCCCAAGTGTGGGTGTGGACGAGGCGGCCAGTGGTACAGAAATCGCAAGGCTGGTGGCCAGCAAGGGAGGAGGCTGTCCCCGACTAGGGAACCTTCTGGAATGTGCTGGGTGCTCGGGGGACTGGGGGCCCCCATCCCTTTCTCCCCTCCTGCCCTGCCGGACGCTGCCTTACCCTTCTTTAAGCAGGATGGGCTGCTCGACACTCTTGGGATCTCTTCTCCCCGAGGACGAAATCAGATCCAAGAACTAACACAGGAAGAAATCAGGTCACGGGGAGGAAGCCACACATCCGACGCGCACGGCTCTCATGACAACAGCGTCGGCAGCTGCTGCCTCCTTTCTGATGCCAGTGGAGACAGAATTTGGGGAAGTCCTTCCCTGAGGGCCGAGGGGCCTCTGCCCCCCACTGAGCCACCCCAGCCCTGGCTCTGCCCCCCACTGTGCCACCCCAGCCCCGACTCTGCCAGGGAAATCTCAGGTGAGAAGCTCAGGCAACACCTGGGGATCAACCTGCATCTCCAGAGGCCGCCCGGGGGGACTCTAAGTGGGGAATCTGGGTCCCAGCAGCGAGGCCCACGGGTCCCTGACTGTGGGGAGGAGCAGAGCCCTGGGTCTGGACGTTCCCCCCACGCATGGCGTTCCTGACAGTGGGTAAGAGCAGAGCCCTGGGTCTGGATGTCCCCCATGCACGGTGTTCCTGATGCTGAGTCTGTGGCCCCAGGGCTCCACGACTACAGCCTGGAATGAGTCCAGCCCCCACACACACTGAGGTGGGACGCGCCCTCGGCTGGGGGTCTCAGACACAGAACGAGATGGGCGAGGGCCCCTTCTTGGCCCCAAAGGTGGTCACGCCAAAGAGTTTATCGACTGCCGGAGGAGGAGGTGTCCCAGGACTCGGGACAGGGCTGTCTGGGCAGCGAACGCCCTTATTGTTTAAAATTGCTAATGACCAAGTCTGTGTCATGTGGGTTCCAGCTCAATTTTAAAAGAGCAGCTCTGTCTCCTGGGCACAGCACCGGCTGTTGGACAGGGAGTCAATACTTACGTTCTTCACCGCATCAGCGTATTTCTGCTCATTGAAGAATTCATAAAATGTAGCCATGTAGGACTCCTTAAAACTCGCCTAAAATGAAACAGGGATCACTTGGGAACAGCCCGAAGTACCTCGGCTCCTGGACCAAATCTGAAAAAGCTAGAGGCAGGAACTGCTCAAGCCTAAATAACGATAACAGGAGAAGAACCCCGTGTTACTGGGGAAATGAGAGCCCACAGGGCTGCCCAGGGGATGAACTGCAGAAATCGCTCAGGCACCAAGGAAGACCATCAGACCTGCCAGTGCCCGTGAGGTCTCCAAGCGCCCTTTGGCATCAGTGACTCTGTCCCGGCCCCGGGCCGCCCCTCACACCTGGGTCCCAGGCTCACGAAGAGGTCCGCTGGGGCCCAGACGTGGCTGCCTGGGAACCTGTAGTCCTGGGCCAGGGTCCCGGAGCCACCATGCCCGTCTCTCGCCCGTGGGGCATAAGGGCCGCTCTGAGGCGGGAAGAGGCGGCAGGGAGCTCTGTCACACGGGGAAGTGGAGGCACCCCAGGGATTCAGGGGGGGCCTTTGCAGCCACCATTCCTGAGGCTCGACCCCAAGTTCCTGTCATTTCCACACTGAGGTCACTGCACGGTTCCCTGGCTCGGAAATGAGCTGGGGTTGGTGCAGACCTCGGAGAAGGAACAGGTGCCTGTTATGGAGTTTCCAGCCCACAGAGTGGGGCCTGGCTGGTGGGGAAGAGCGGTCGGCCACCTTGGCCTGCCTGCGGGTGCGGCTCGTCTTCCACTCACTCGGACTCAGAAAATCCCAACGTTTGTCCCAAGGGGGCTGCTCCTCCAGTGGGGGCCCCTGCTCCCCAAAGCCCTCATCTCCACCCGGGCCTCACCAGGAACAGGGAACCTGGAGGCTGCGGCATCTGTGCACCGTGGCCCAGCCCTCTCCAGACGGAGCCCCAGGGGCGCCCATCTGTGCACTCCAGCCCACAGAGTGGGGCCTGGCTGGTGGGGAAGAGCGGCCGGCCACTTGGCCTGCCTCTGGCGGGGTGCGGCCGCCCTCCACTTCCACTGACTCCAGAAAATCCCAACGTTTGTCCCGGCTGGCCCCTCCATGGGGGCCCCTGCTCCCAAAGCCCTCATCTCCACCCGGGCCTCACCAGGAACAGGGAACCTGGAGGCTGCGGCATCTGTGCACCGTGGGCCAGGCCCCTCCAGACGGAGCCCCAGGGGCGCCATCTGTGCACTGGGCGTCTAGGGTGTCCTCTCCAGGATGGAGCCCCAGGGCGCCCATCTGTGCACCGCGGCCCAGCCCTCTCCAGACGGAGCCCCAGGAGCGCCCGAAGGCATCAACCTGCCCTGGCCGGGCCCCTGCAGGGACAGCCTCGGGCCCCACCATGAGTCCCCGGCACCCCTCGAATGTCAGCTCTGACCCCCTCAAACACACAAGGTGCTCTCAGGGGGAAACGGGGCAGACACTTGAGGGACCCTCAGCCCGGCGGCACCACATCCGGTCTGAAGGGAGGAGGATGGACGACAGAGGTTCATCTCCCCAGGGAGAGAGGGGCCCCGGGAGGAGGGGGCCGCGTGGGGAGGAGGGGGCCGCTTGGGGAGGATCGAGCCATATGGGGAGGAGGGGGACTGCGTGGGGAGGAGGGGGCCATGTGGAGAGGAGGGGGCCGCGTGGGGAGGAGGGGGCCGCATGGGGAGGAAGGGACTGCGTGAGGAGGGGGCCGCGTGGCGAGGAGGGGGCCGCGTGGGGAGGAGGGGGCTGCGTGGGGAGGGGGCCGCGTGGTGGGGGAGCCTCCAGCACTGCGATGCCCAGGAGGCCCCAGGTCAGGCCACCTGCCCGGTCCGCTCGGCCACGTCCCACTCCTGACAGGTCAGAGGCTGCTCCTGCCACGGGGCCGGTGAGGAGCCACAGGCTCCCGAAAACAGTCACGGGTTCACTTTGGGAGGGAAGAGGCGGGTGGGACGGGGACACTGGGGTCCTGGGCTTCAGGAGAGGATGTGGTGCCAGCTCTGATTCTCGATCTCGATCTAACTCTCAAATGTGGGAGGTTTTCATGTGTATTTACTGAAGAGAGAAAAGAATCAGTTGTCCCTAAAAAGAGAAAATGAAGAACAGAGACTCACAGATTTGGACTTGGACAGGCTGCCGAGGGTCTGAACGGTCTTGGAGATCAACGTCAGCGTCCTGGACGTCTGGGGGTCCTGGGGAGGCGGGAGCGAGAAAGGTCTGTGTCAGCTTTACAGAAATACTGTGACTGTCTCAGGTCACCCAGGGGACGAAATGCAGGAGTCACCTCCGAGCTGCTGTGACTTGTGCATGAGCTGCGGAGAAACGGGTAGCGACGCAGATGGGACTGGAGGAGGCGGGTATCCCAGTCTCAGGAGCTGCTGAGACCGTCTCGCAGGCAGCATCCGATGGCACCGTGGGGACCCACCCTCTTGGCCCAGCATGCAGGATGCGTCTCAAAGTCGAAAGCATCAGGCGGAGTCATGGCTCTGGGGCGCTGAGTCTCAGGGTGCTGAGTCTCCTGGCCCTGCCTGGGGCTCATCTCAGCCTTCATGAGGTTTGAAAGTTCAACTTAGAAGTGCTGGGGGCCAGGCTTGGTGGTTCACACCTGTAATCCCAGCACTTTGGGAGGCCAAGGCAGGTGGATCACTTGAGATCAGGAGTTCGAGACCAGCCTGGCCAACATGGTAAAACCCCATCACTACTAAGAATACAAAATTAGCTGGGCATGGTGGCACACGCCTGTAATCCAAGCTACTAGGGAGGCTGAGGCACGAGAATTGTTTGACCCCAGGAGGCAGAGGTTGCAGTGAGCTGAGATGGTGCTACTGCACTCCAGCCTGAGTGACAGAGCAAGACTCCGTCTCAAAAAAAAAAGAAGTGCTGGGGAATGGGCCATCCCTCACATCCCCTCGCCCTGGCCATCTCCTTCCAGCTCTGCCACCTGCACATGCAACACGGTCACCCCAGATCCCTGCACCCTGAGAGCCGTGGCCCCAGCAACCACATTGGGGCCTAGAGCAAATCACTGCTGAATAGGGATCTGTTGACTCAATACACGGATGATACGCCGATCATCAATACTCCATATGTGATGGGCAGGGGAGGAGAGCATGGCAGTGACCAGCAGCTAAACCCTGGTCAAATCGTCCACTGCTTTTGTGACATTGTCTCAATTCCCCCAGAACGTACACAGCTTAAATAGGTCGGTGAACCAGCTGCAACGAGGACGTTCTGGGACCCGGCGCATCCACCAGCACTCCCCACGCACCATCCACACACTCCACGCACACGGCACACGTACTCCGCATTCCCCACGCCTTCCACACTCCCCACAGTCCACACGAACTCCACACTCCCCACGCAATCCCGCCTTCCACACGTACTCCACACATTCCACACACACTCCACACACACTCCACACACACTCCACACACACTCCACACTCCCCACGCACTCCACACTCCACAGGGTCGGCCCCCACAGCCACACAGATGCCCTGACTCAGGCCACAGTCCCAGGACAGCTCAGAAAGCCTCGGTCCCTCAGCCAGTCACTCACCGTGTGGTGCGGCGTGAGCTGGAAGAGGTTGGGGGAGAGAATGGCAGGCGCAAAGAACCTCAGGAAGATGAAGCTGCTCACTGCGGTGTACCTGACGTCCGGGTCACCTGCGGGAGACAGAGGTGGGGTGGCCCTTTCCCTCTGGCACAGTGGCCCCCGAGGGTCCGCAGGGAAGTCCTGCCACAGTCCTGGATCTCTCTCCACCTGTGTCTCTCTCCCTCTGTCTCTTTTTCTCTGTCTCTATCTCTCTCCCTGTCTCTCTTTTTCTCTCTTTCTCTCTCTCCCCCTCTCTCCATCTCTTTCTCTGTCTCTCTTTCTCTGTCTCTATCTCTCCCTGTCTTTCTCTGTCTCTCTCTCTCTCTGTCTCTATCTCTCCCTGTCTTTCTCTGTCTCTCTCTCTCTTTCTCTGTCTCTGTCCGTCTCTCGTCACCACCATACAGCGCAGCACCTTTGGTGCCCGTCACAGACTCATTCCACGGTGGTCTGTGCTCATCCGGGTGAGAGGATGTGTTTTATCTCTTCACTTCCACCTTGTTCAAAGTGGGTCTGGGGCTGGGAAGTGCTTGGGAACTGCCTCCCTGAGACCCCTGGGCCCCTCGGCCAGGGCTGTCTGATGTCCTGAGAAACAGGGGTGGGGACAGCGTTTGACTCCTGGGGACACAGAAGCGTGGATGGCTCTGCAGGGCCATGGCCACCCTAGGGGTGTCTGTAGCTATCCCAAGGCCACAGGACACGCAAGGAAGGGAGAAGCCAGGCAGCAGGGCCCTCGCCGAGCCTCTCAGCAGCCCCAGATCCTGAGTCCCGGCGGGGCCTTGAGCATCGCAGGAGACGGGGGGGTGCAGGCGCCTCCTCGAGGGTCGGCAAGGTTGAGAAGTTTGGGGGCCAGATGCCCAGGTCCCTGGGGGATCTCTAGCTTGGGGGTTTGAAGAAGGGGCAGCTCCCCCAGGGGTCCTGTCTCCTCGAAGACACGGGCAGGCAGAACCCCCAACACCACTCTGGGCCCTGCCCCACCAAAAAAGAAACCACTGGGAAAACCCGGGGGGCCACATCAGGAAAATTCACCTGACAAAGCCCGGCCGGCCTTCCCGGCCCCCCGAGAGACCACTGCGGTCATGAACTCCAGGGCTGGGGACCCCCGAGACCACTGCGGTCATGAAGTCCAGGGCTGGGGGCTGGGGACTCCCGAGATACCAAGGCCAGAGAGTCTCCAGGCTAGCCCCTGAGATCACTGGCACGTAACCCCAAGGCTGGGACCGAGACCACTGTGGCCGTGAACTCAGGACTGGCCTCGAGACCACCGCGGCCGCGAACCCAGGGCTGGGGACCCCGAGACCATCGCGGTCGGGAACTCACAGTGCCCACCACCGCGGTCATGAAGTCCAGGGCTGGGGGCCCCTGGAGACCACTGCGGTCATGAACTCCAGGGCTGGGGCCCCCCGAGACCACTGCGGTCGGGAACTCCAGGACTGGGGCCCCCCGAGACCACTGCGGTCATGAACTCCAGGACTGGGGCCCCCGGAGACCACTGCGGTCGGGAACTCCAGGGCTGGGGACCCCAGAGACCACTGCGGTCGTGAAACTGGGGAACACTGGCCCAGGCACAAAACCCTGGAAAAATCCAGCCTCTGAACTGGGGCTCATGCCCCCACAATTCTAGTCCAGCGAGGGCTGCGGGGGATTCTGCCTGGGTGGGAGTTGCCCTGCACGGGGCCGTGGCCATTTCTCCGCAACACGAGGGTGTCCGGGGCACTCACCCTGGAAGCGCTTAGCTGCCGCCTCCCGCAGCGAGAAGAATATGTCGCACATGACGGTCGGGCAGCTCACCCCGGACTCGGTGATGGCGTGGAAGACGCGGTCCACATACTGCCGTAGGTTTTCCTGCAATGGGACACGGCACTGGGACCCACTGCCGAGGCTGCCCGCAGGTGCGTGTAGCACCAGCACACACCCAGGGAGGGGCGCGTGGGGAGGGGCTGAGGGCGGGCGCAGGGCAGCCACAGAAGCAAGACACGTGTGAACAGCCACCCCCTGGAAATCTGTGCTGGGAGCTGTGGCGATTCACGCGTGAAAATCACTACACCCTGTTCGGGGCGCCACGTCTGCTCCCCAGCTCTGCCCCGACCTTGTTTACTGAGTGGGGAACAGACACTCACTAGAACGTGCCTGCCCGAGGCAAGAGCTCTGTCCAGTCATTTACACACAGAGATGACCAAACAGCACAGTCTGCAACACGTATCATGTGAAGTGACTAAAATGTTGGGGCAAGTTCAACATCAGGGAGTTTTGTTGTTTTAAAATGCGGGACACAGCTCTGGGGACAGCCTGGGGAGGCGGGGAGGCCATCTTGTCCCAGGAAAAGGCAGGGGCAGGAGCCATCGCCCCAGGGGAGGCAGAGCTGGGTGTGCAGGGCAGACCCTCCAGGGGAGGTAGAACTGGGTGTGCAGGGCAGACCCTCCAGGGGAGGCAGAGCTGGATGTGCAGACCAGATCCCCAAGGGGAGGCAGAGCTGGCCAGGACACCCCAGGGGAAGCAGAGCTGGGCACACAGGCCAGGCCAAAGGCAGTGGCTGAGGCCTCCCAGCAGTGCAGCCAGCATACTGTAGCCAGGTGAGGCAGGTATCCCTACGCCCGGTCCTGCGCCCACCCCAACCAGGGTCATGGGGTGAGTCAGACCTTCCAGGCAGCCACCGGCTGAAAGACCCCAAGCAGGTGACTGGCTTTGGTTTCGTTCATGAACAAAACCTACCATGTTGTTTTCAAGGTTTTCTCCATCTTTCAGCTTCACGGGGTCTATTTCACAGGGTTTGTGGCTCTGGCATATCTGGGGAGAGGTTTAAGACAGGGCTCTGTGAGTGGGTTCTGGGGGCACAGGCAGGGAGGGAGGAGGGGGGCTCAGGCCTGGCTGAGATGCAGACCCTGAGCCTCATCCAGAAAATGCCGCGACAGCTCCCCGAACGTGGCCACTGGCATGGAGGGGCACAGAGGGGCACAGTGAGGCACAGAGGGGCACAGTGAGGCACGGTGAGGCACGGAGGGGCATGGAGGGGCGCGGAGGGGCAAACACAGGCCTTGTAGTGAAACCTGAGGGCCTTGAGAAAACATAGAGAAACACAGTGAAAACCTGGAAAGCGCAGTAGAAAGAAGGAAACATATAGGCCTTGATAACCTGGAAAGGCGCTGATGAGAGCACAGAAGAGCATGAAGCGCTGGTAAGTACAAGAGAAACACGGAAGTAGCAGTGAGAAGCAAGAGAAGCGCAGTGAAGGCACAGAGGCATGGAGAGAAGCCTTGATGAGCTTCTGAAGGAAACCACAGGCGTATTGAGAAACCTGAAGCGGCAAGCTCAAAGAGAGCATAGAAAGCGCAGTGAAACACGAGAGGGAGAGAGCATAGAGACGCAGTAGAAACCTGAAAGCGCAGTGAGCACAACAGAAAGGGAGGCATGGAGAAGCCTTGATGAGAACCTTGAGAGAGGCATGGGGAGAGAGCGCGGTAGAGGCATAGGCGGCAGTGAGAACTGGAGAGCATGGAGAAGCGCGGTAGAGCCGCAGAGCACGGAGCGCGGTGAGCGCGGAGGTGTGGTATTGGACTAGAGCCACCGTGGGGTAGTGTCACCCGAGCCTTGGCTGAAGGGGAGCCCTGCAGGCCCGATATCACAGGCTACCCGAGGACAAGTGAAGGTCAGGTGCAAAGCGCCAGGCAGGAGCCCAGTCCATGGCCACAATCAGATGAGCCAGGCTTTCTCCGAGAGGCATGTGCAGCCGTGATCAGGGCAGGCGGGCTTTCGGACAGCGTGTGCTGATGTGCACCAGCCACACAGACCAGGCCTCATGAGCCTTGAATAATATTTCCCTTCCAAAATGCTGCATTGTTTTGCCACAGAGCAAACCAGAATGCTGTGTTAAGGTGAGGCACGGAGGGGCACGGAGGGGCGCGGTGAGGCACGGAGGGGTGTGGTGATGCCGGACTGCAGGGCCACCGTGGGGTGGTGTCACCCCGAGCCTTGGCTGAAAGGGGGCCACTCTGGGCCCGTGTCACAGGCTGCCGAGGGACAAGTGAGAGGTCAGGTGCAAACGCCAGGCACGGGGCCCAGTCCATGGCCACAATCAGATGAGCCAGGCTTTCTCCGAGAGGCATGTGCAGCCGTGATCAGACGAGCCGGGCTTTCTCGGACAGCGATGTGCTGATGTGCACCAGCCACACAGACCAGGCCTCGCAGGCCTTGAATAATATTTTCACTTCAAAATGCTGCCGTGATTTTGCCACAGAGCAAACCAGAATGCTGTGTTAAATGTTCTCACGTTTGCAAAGAGCCTGTTTACAAAGCTGCTTATAAACAGGGGGCACAACCTGGTGGCATCAGAGGGTGGGGTGAGGACTGTGTGGGCATCAGAGGGTGGGGTGAGGACTCGGCGTGCGGGCATCAGAGGGTGGGGTGAGGACTGGGTGTACAGCTCAAACGTGCCATGCTGCCAGGGCCCAGACACAGGGGACCGCAGGACGTGTGGAGAAAGGTCTCCCTGGGAAGGGCCAGGTTTTTCTTGCATGCTCTTCTTCTTAGTGGAATGGTGGGTTTTCTCATGTATAGTTTTGATTTGGGAGAATCTGGAAGGTTCTGGAGTACACAGGGAACCTCCTCTTGATCAGAGCGCATCAATCAGCATCCCTGCAGCAAGGCTGGAGGGGCGGACGTTCAAGCCCAGCTCGTGGTCTGGCTGGATCCCTGTGCAGTGCCCTGTCGGGGGAAGTCCTCCCCGTGCCCCGCGATGCTGAGGACTCCGCCCCGTGCTCACCTCCTCGATGGCGGGCTTTAGCGTGACATGCAGGTAGTGCATCCCCGCCAGCTTCATGGTCTCGTCGATGCACTTGGACGCCAGCGAGTTTCCTCGGAAGATGGTGTTGGGGTCCCTGGGAAATGGCGATGGGGACAGTGTTTGTCTCCTGGGGACGCGGAAGAGCACGTCGGAGCAGAGCCTGGCCCCGAGCACCTGCCTGTGGGCCGTGAGATCAGCGCACGCCCATCAGTCGGCTTCCTGCCGTTTTACAAGGAGCACAACCAGGCCAGGAGCTCGAGGCCCTGCCCATGGAACTGTCCTGTGTCAACAATGCCAGAGGGAACCACTCGGCTGCCCGCGTGGCCACTAGCTCAGGAAGAGCCTGGCTGGCCTTTGCTCCCGTCTTCTCGCCCTCTGCGGCCTGTGCCTGCACAGAGAATTGAGCACCAGACCCTGGCAGGATCCGAGGGCCAGCAGAGAAGCAAACCCCTCCTGCCAGCTACGGTGGCCACAGGTGCAGCCGGATGTTTCTAGAATAAGGCGTCTGGAAACAGCAGGTCCTGAGGGAAGCCGTGCCCCATTTTCATGGGCTCCCAAAGTGCCCCAGTGAGGGGACCTGAGCTGTCCTTGAGCCCTGGGAGCTGTTTTCCCTCCCCACTCACTCACTCTACCCGGGATTTCAAAGGCAAATGGGGCTTTCAAAGAAAAAAAAAGAATCATTAACTGGGTCTGTGAAAAAAACCCGAATCCACACGGTTTCTGGGGACACTTGAATTCCCTCAAGCCCTGCGCCGGGACGTGGTTCCCAGCGACGACCTCGCCATCCCTGCAGCGGGTCCAGGCCGCTCTCCCCCGGGGCGGAGCGGGGCGGGCACTCACTGGGTCCGCTTCACCTCCGCGCTGGCAATGGCACTGATGAAGGGCACCACCCTGCCGTAGTGTAGCAAGAGCCGCACCAGCGGGACGGCTGCCTCCTGCTTCTCCCGGCAAACCTCGCCCAGGATGTGGGCCGCAGATGCTGACACGGGCTGCGGGGAGGGGTGAGGTCAGTTCCGGGGCCCAGGGTGTGGGACCCTCAGAGGCCTGTCCCAGCCTGGCTGGGGTCTCACTTCCAGCCACAATAGATATGGCTCTTTGCTGAGACAGAAACACATATATTCACAAAAGCACCAAAACTTCCCATTTGCTGCTGCCTGGCTGGGCCCTTGGAGGGGGATCTGCACCTCCTCCTAGCAACCCCCAATTGCGGCCAGCTCTACGGCTCCTGAACCAGTAGAGGGACCCTGATGATGGGGATCCCCCTCAGACAACCCGGCGAGGCCTCAGCATCACCAGGCTCCCACGGCTCTACCTGCAGACAGACCAGTGCTCACAGCAAAGGGGTCCAGGCATCTGGGCGGGAAACAGGCCGGGCTAGGAGGCGTGGGAAAGGCCCCTCAGGGACGAGGTGCCCTCTGGGGTGGGGCAACGCGTGGGGCAGAGCCCCAGGCAGGTAGCACCTCCTGCCCACACCCACGGGCCACGGCGTGGACAAGCACCTCCACGTCCGCAGACTTCAACAGCAGGTCCCGGAGAGGGCTGTAATAGTCAGAAGAAAACACGTGGTCTTCCGTGTATACCACGTTCAGCCGCAGGGAGCCCAGATCGTCTGGCTTTAGGCTCTTGCTACCGTTGTCCCGGGGCTGCAGGAAGTACCTGGGTGGGAGGGACACACGGAGGGAGGCGTGAGGCTGAACCTGCCAAGGAGCAGCTCTCAGGGCAGCCCAGCTGCCTGCGTGAGGCTGACTGGTCAGGAGGGTAATCCCGCAGGACCCCCCAGAGTGCAGCCCCTGGGATGCCCCACAGAAGACCCCCAGCACAGCTGGTCACTGGGGATCCCCAGGAAGCAAGTGTTGGAGCCAAAGACGCAGGAGTCAACGGGGGAAACGCGGAGGGGGATGGGGGGTGCAACGTGGAGGGAACGGGTTTCTGGGAACCCGCGCAGAAGTGGTCAGGGATATGCCGTGAAGACCTACGGCCGGCAGTGTCAGCAGCAGGTGGAAATGAAAATTATTTCAACCACAGCGTGCCGTGGCTCCTGATGCCACAGGTGGGGGCCTTGGGCTGGTGAGCCTGGCAGGCCACCTCGGCACCTGGTCATTGTGGGCGATGTTTCCTGCCCGGCCACTCTTCCATCTTTGGTTCTACCCCATGCAGTCACCCAGGAGCCCTCTCTGCCCTGATTTGTGGGCCAGGCAGTCTAAGCTGTCAGGTAGATGGAGCCCGTGTCCGAGGCATGAGCCCCCGTCAGGTGGGTGGAGCCCGTGTCTGAGGCACGAGCCCCCCGCAGTCTGCTGTCAGGTAGATGGAGCCCGTGTCCGGCATGAGCCCCCGTCAGGTGGGTGGAGCTCCGTGTCTGGAGGCACGAGCCCTCTGTCAGGTGGGTGGAGCCCGTGTCTGAGGCACGAGCCCCGGGCTAGGTGGGTGGGAGCCCCGGGTCTGAGGCACTGAGCCCCGCTGTGTGGGTGGAGCTCGTGGTTCGGGAGGCACGAGGCCCCGTCAGGTGGTGGAGCTCGTGCCTGGGAGTGCACGAGGCCCCGTCAGGTGGGTGGAGCCCGTGTCTGGAGTGCACGAGCCCCTGGGCTGTGGTGGTGGAGCCCGTGACTGAGTGCACGAGGCCCCGTCAGGTGGGTGGAGCCCGTGACTGAGGAATTAGGCCCCTGGGCCAGGGTGGGTGGAGCCCGTGTCTGAGGAATTAGGCCCCCGCTCAGTGGGTGGTTTCTGACTGAGGCATGAGCCCCCTGGCCAGGTGGGTGGTGCCCGTGTTCGAGGCACGAGGCCTCGTCAGGTGGGTGGAGCCCGTGTCTGAGGCATGAGCCCCCGTCAGGTGGGTGGTGCCCGTGTCCGAGGCATGAGCCCCCTGGGGTTCTCTGGGGTCTGTGGTGGCTGCCTTGGCTACCCGGGCCAGGGGTTCGCTCAGTGTAGGAGGAAGTCTAACTCAGCCCAGGGGGCCTGTGCCCGTGCCGTCTTCATAGAATCAAAAGACACGTGCGTTTCAGTTTCTGGGATGGAAACCTGCCCTCACACACGGCAGAGGGACACATGGGGCGTCAGGCCGCGGCACACAGTCCACGCCTGGCAGTGCACGCCTCCCGCAACTCCGGGTCCTCTCAGGAGCTGCCTGTCGCTAAGGGACACACGTAAACTGGAAGTAAAATCAAACAATGGCCTGCTCCTTCCACCAAAAAACCAAACACCTGGAGAAAACAGGAAAGAAAGGCAGGAGGCAGCAACACACGTCATGCCCTGGGGTGGGTTCTGGATCAGAGCCGATCCCTGAGGTCCAGATGTGCAGAGGGGAGTGGAGAACCCTGTAATGCGCTCTCAATAGGAGGTGCTGCCGAGGGCCCAGAGCAAGACCCGGAGTGCAGCCGCGGGGCAGGGCCCGCTGTGCGCATTCTGGGCTCCCGCACCAGCTGCTGATACCCTCTCCTCCCGGGGTCAGACCCCGCGAACTGCTGGCGGCTCAGGGTCCCCCTTTCACCTGGGGTCAGACCCCACAAGCGGCTGGTGGCTCAGGGTCCCGCTTTCACTCGCGTTCCCTGTCTTGTTTTGAGGTGCCAGCCGTCGTGAGTCCCTGCTCAGTGTGATCCCTGCTGCCTCTCCTCACCTGCCGTTTCTCACCTGCTGTGAGGCAGAAACTCATCAGCAGGCGGGTGCCTGACGCAGCCGAGGACCAGCACACGCGGCCTCTGTGCCTTTCCACTCAGAGGCAGCATGTGTTTTTGTGGCTGTCAGAGATGTGGAAGTCTGCAGGCGCAGCGTCACCTTACCATGCCTCGTAGGAGCTGGACTGCCGCAGGACTTTCAACGGGATCCTTAGTTCTCCCAGGAATTCATCTCCAAACTTCAGGTTACTGGCATTCCAGAGGTCAACTCTGAAAAACAGCATCGGTACAGCTCTAGCTGATAGCGGGCAGCCCGGGTGAAGCAGAGATTAGGGGCCATGCTTTGTTTCCCTAGGAGCAGGGGGAGCCTGCAGCGCCTCCCAGAGTCTCCATCAAGGCTCAGCCCACGGGGCACGTTTAAAACACATCAGCCTGTGGTTTTGGAATAAAGATGAGTGTCTCCCAGTGGTAATGGGCAGGCAGAGGAAGGCAGAAGGCCATGGGCCCAGACTCAGACCCCAGGCTCTTAGATAGGAAGGAGCCTGGGCGTCGCTCCGTGCACCCGGGAGCTACATGACCCCAGGCTCTGCACCAGGAGGGAGCCAGGCATCGCTGCGTGCACCCAGGAGCTACGCAGCTGCTGCCGCTTTCAGCTCCAGCACCATCTGGCCCCTTTGCCCACAACAGGCCCAATGTCAGCAGTCTGTGCACGGCGGGCAAGTGAGACCCCCAGGAGTCTGTGGCGTGTGCCTCTCGCGCCGTCCCAGCGTACGGCCCAGCAGCCTCCGTCTGCAGGGCTCAATGCAGGGGATGATGAAGAACTTGGGCTGTAGAGAGGAGGGTGCCCATGGAGGATGGGCTGGCTGATTCAACAGCCATGGGCTCTCTGCTTTCGTCATATGAAAATGTGCCTCAAAACAAAACTGGGTGCTTGCGAATGCCCTGCCCCTGAATATAGAACGCTGTGTCCACAGATGGCTTACGACCTGGGGCATGAAGTGGATTCAGGGGCCACGCACACCACAGCAGGGGGAGAACCGTGGCCACAGCATGGTCCACGAATCTCCCTGAGTAGCCTGGGCCCAGCATCGTGAAGCTTCTGCTAATGTCTAACACAGCAGCGGCTTCCACTAATACTGTGTCCTGGTGTGGGACAGTACGTGTCCCCTCAGACCTGGGGCTGTAAAATTCTGACAGACACACAGCATCCCCGGCTGCAACAAGTCTACAGGACTGTACCCCAGTCCCTCATGGCCAGGACCCACCCGCGCACCTGAAACACCCGAAGTCATGTGTGGCCAGCTCTACCCACGGGCCTGAAATCCCAGTTACACGTGCCCGGCCCTACCCAGGCGGCTAAAACTCGGCAGGTCTAACCACACTGTGGCCATCAGGGGCATCCCCCTGCGGGGAGAAGATTCCGGAAGGCCGGTAATTCTGTTGCCCTTGCGAATCCTGCAGAGGCACTGGCGTCTGGGGCCGGGGAGGGCTGACAGGCCGCACAAGAACCCACAGCGCGCTCCTTTCAGAAGGAACAGAGGGGACCGCTGATATGTGCAGGGACTTTGGAAATGTGCCAAGTGGCCAGGCAGGCGCATCTGCCTTTAAAAAGGGAAATATTTAAAACACATTTTGTGTGCTTTTAAAAAATTCAGTAACTAGGACTTCACTCCTGAATTCAAAGCTTGGTGTAAAAAGGAACCACCGATGGTGCGTCCTTCTCTTGAAAAAGGGGCTGGTGGTGGGGCTGGCATGAGTCCTGGGGAGGCTTCCTCAACGCCCGGCCCAGGGTCTCAGGCCCTGGCTCAGTACCGTGAAGCCTGGAAATGAAGGTTTAGGCCAAAACATTTAAAAATGGGACTCAAACCGAGACAGTTGGTGGAGACAACCCTGCTTTAGGACTCCCACGTCAGGAACACTCCTACAGTTCAGGACCCTGATCCCTCAGGAGGTGGATCTGACCGACCACGTCAGGGACATTCTGTGGTTCGGGATGGAGACAACTAGGGGAGGCAGATCTGACCGATAACATCAGGGACATTCCTACAGTTCTCAACCACAAAACCACGCCTCCCAGCAGCCGTAGGGCCTGAGCCACACGCCGGCTCCACATGTCCCGGTAAGGGTCCCCCGGGGGCGCTGCCAGGCCCTGGGAGGAAGCGTGACCAGAGATTTGATGGCACATTCTCCAAAATGACCTAAAGAAAGCAGGTGCATCCCAGGCTCAGGAGCATCCCAGGCTCAGGAGCATCCCAGGCTCAGGGTCTCAGGGCCGGCTGGGGAGGGTCAGAAGGGAGCTGTTTCGTTCCTTCTCTGTCCAGCATGGAAAGGTTCGGGGGCTTCAGGGGAGGTTCATCTGCTTCTTCACAGGGGATGGGGGCATTCGTTGGTACAGAAGGAACACAGGCTACGTTCAAAAAGAAACAGGAATCCAGCCTATTTTCACCGGGAGGGGAGAACCCACCAGCGTTTGTGAAGGGCACATTCTGGGGCCCGCCCTCCCCAGACCTCTGAGTCAGCCGGATCGTGGGGCTTTCTAAATCCTGGGCCTGAGATCACGTCCTGACCTGCGAGAACCCGCAAGTGACTTCCCCGTTTCCCGTGGGAGGCGCTGAGGAGCCAGGAAAGGGCGGTGGGGGCTCCAGGGCAAAGGCTGACGATGCAGCTTCTATGACCACACGCAGGAAACACGAACCCAGTACCAGGTGAGAACATTTCACTCGAGTCAAAGGGGACAGGGTCTCCACAGAGGCCGCCCAGCTGAGAGCCTCAGGAGTGCCAGGGCCGGGTGCCGTGCAGACCCGCCAGGCCTGTGACCTCCGAGTGAGGCCTGCACCCATGGACGGTGGAGGGCTTAGAATAAGACCTTAAGAACAGCTGCAGCCCATGTGCCCCGTCGCTCCTGGTGGATGAAGCCTTTCGGCCAGAGGGATGCGGACCTCTGGCCTTTGCCTCTTCGCAGGAATTGCAAGGTGAGCCCTAACACCACCCACAGGCTGTCACTTCAACTACAGCTTCTAACATCTGTTGTGAAAATTACCAAGAAAATGGAAATTCTTTTCTATCTATGACCCTATATTTAGAAACAAACAACAAAAGAGCTGAGGAGTTTGGGTGAAAACTGCCAAATCGGGGACGCGGAGCCTGGTTTTCTCACCTGATTTCGAGCTTGTCCACGTCTTCTTCCTCGAAGTCAAAGTGAGACTTCTTGCTGTAGCTACAGGGCCGGGTCACCTGGAGTCAGTGGAGAGAGAAAGCACTGAGACCGCGGTGCCACCAGGCGGGGGTATCTCCACGCGGACCCAGGCCCCGGGCTGCACTTCCTCTGTGCTTACCCACACGCCACTCAAGGGCCACAACTGGGAAGGCCCTAGGCGAGATTCGGGATTCAGGCCCGGCTTCCTGAGTGCCAGCATTTCCCACTCACAGAGCCCCTGGAGGGGCAGACCCAGGCGAGACCTGCCCCAAGGCCGTTCACAGCCACGGCCGGACTCTCCCAGCGGTTCCTCATGGGTGCCGGGCTCCGGGGACCTAAACGTCCCTCACCTGCACCTGCTCTAGGCCTGCCACCCTGTGAGGGAGGGACCCCCTCTGCCGTGGAGACGAAGCGGCCCCACCTCAAGACTCTATTTGCCAACAGGAAGTGAAAAGCGTGAGGCCTGTGGTGCCTGAAACTCGCCAGCCCCTAACAGACCCCAGCACTCTGGGGAGCGTCAGACGGCAGAAAGTCAAGATGCTGCTACCTTCCTCCTGACACCTCTGCACCGTGGGTTCCTTAGAACAGAAAGGGAGTGAAGGCGTAAAGGGTCGAGGTTCTGGGACCGTCCCCCACTGCCGCCAGCCTGCAGGGTCCTTGCAGCAGAGCAGGAGGCCGCCCCTCAGGCTCCAGGAGACCACAGTCGGTTACCACGAGTTCTAATTTAACCACCATCAGCCATGCACCAGGTCACCCATGTTTACAAGGAGGGCTCCCTCCTGCCCGGCCTCCCTCCCTGCCCCACCTTCTCTGGGCCTCAGCAGTGATGCTGGCTCAGGAGCTCTCAGCTCGAAGTTCTGATGCAGGGTCTGACACCAAAATCATGTTGCTAGAACTGCCTAACCTCTGAGCTTGCACTTCCTGATTGGTAAACTGAGGCAAAGATCATGCAGGGGCAGTTCTCTGCTTCGGGTTGAGGGCTGCTGACGCCTCCTCCTTCCTGACCTACACACCATTGTCCTCAAATTTGCTTCCCCCCAACTTCCCCATCTCATAAAACTCAGGTCAGGCAATGCCTCCTCCAGGAAGCCCCCGGCGCCCCTGTCTCACGCCCTCTTTGCAGAGCAGGTCAGGCAATGCCTCCTCCAGGAAGCGCCCCCCCAGTGCCCCTGCCTCATGTCCTCTCTGCAGGGCAGGTCGGGAGCTATTGTAGGGGCTTGTCTGTTTGCGTCCCTCCCATGCTGGTCTGGTGTGGTGGCCTTGGACTCCTCTGTTTTCTCCCACATCTTATCACCAGCTGATCACCGGCACAGTGCTGGCACCTGACACATCTGTTGGGTGAATGAAAGCAGCTCCTACCAAATTTACGAGATTATTTAATCTCATTTAGAGAGTTAAAGGGCCTTAATGTGTCTAGTTGTGATCCTGGAAGAAAAAGGTACAGACGCTGCTTCCCATGGAAACGGAACATCTGTTTTCCTGGGTCTGCTCCTGGTAGGTGGCTGTTCGACCACAGCCTGTGGGAGACACGCTCCCGCTCCGGGGCTCGGCCTCCAGCTGGGTCAGAAGCAGCTGAAGCCGAAAGAGACAGGGTCCTGGTGAAAGAGGTTCATGGCTGCTAAGGAAGGGGTGGAGACGGAGTGAAAGGTCACAGACCCCAAAGAGCAGGGCCCCGTGTGTCCCACACGGCAGTGGTCAGCGAGGTCTGGGCCCACACAGCAGTGGTCAGCGAGGTCCGGGCCTTCCCTGGAGCCCCACAGGTGGTGATGCAGACCACGGTTTTCAGACTCTCTGTGGTCACTAAATTACTGCAGTAGGCTGAGACCCACGTCTTTACAGAGTGAATGGGAGTGCACACAGTAGAAACGGTGTGAGAACACTGCAAGTGTGATGAGCACCCGGGTGTGGCCGGGCAGTGGGCGAGCTCTACCCCACTGTGTGTATGACAGCTCCACGTGTGGCAGCCGACGACCCCACCGTGTGTATGACAGCTCCACGTGTGGCAGCCGACGACCCCACCGTGTGTATGACAGCTCCACGTGTGGCAGCCGACGACCCCACCGTGTGTATGACAGCTCCACGTGTGGCAGCCGACAACCCCACCGTGTATATGACAGCTCCATGTGTGGCAGCCGAGCCGGGGGAAGCTGCCACCTGGAACTCCGTCCATGCCGCACGCCTCCTGCACCACCAACAGGGCCCAGCCTGCCCCTGGGAGCCTGGCAGCCCCCTGCTTCCCTTGCTCTGGCAAAACCATCTGCTCTGCCTGTCTCTAAGTGAGGGCTTCCGTGTGAGACAGAGAACAGATTCCACCTCCAAAGCCCGCCTCACAGCGGCCCTGAAAGCCTGGCCCTGGCTTCGGACACCAAGTTCCCACCTCTGCCTGTGGGGCCCTTTTGAGCCTCAGCAGTGCCCGTGGGTCCTGCTCAGACTGGTAGGTCCACTCTCCAATGGTCCCCCCAGAACTGCATGCATCGAGCGCCGCTCAGCCATCATGGCTCAGGGGAGCCCACCTGACCCCTCAGGCGTGACTGGCCATGTTCCTGCCACAGAGGCCTCATCCATCCTCACATCTCCAGGGCTTGTGCACGGGAAGGTTTGTGGATGGGAAGAGCATCTGTCTAAAGGCCCTGCAGACAGCCGTCCCCAAATCGCGCCGGCCACATGGCAGGTCCCCACTCCATGAGATGCAGCTGTCCCCAAACCGCACAGTAGGTCCCACTCTACCAGGTGCAGCCGTTGCACCCTCCTTCTCACGGATTTTGGTGCTCCATGTTCTGAGAGGATCTCTGTGTCTGAATCCTTCCCCGCTTTGCTTCAAAACCCTGCCTATTTCCACTGGAACAAGCATTCCGCCTGCTCAGGGACACTTGGGCGGAGCAGCCAAAAAGACAACAAAAAACCCCAAAGTCCTGGTAATTTGGAAAGCATTAACCTGTCATCTTTTAACTCAAATCTGGGCCAGTTTGGGAGACAACGAAAGGCCTTTCTCTCTCGGGAGACGAGGGAAGGTCTTGGGGCCATGGGTCCCAGGGCCGGCGGGGCTGCCTCCTCTCCGGGAGGAACTTCCAGAGGGAAGAGACTGAGATGGTTCTGATCCAGACTTTCTGCCAATGTGTCTCGGGTGCAGCCTGCACTTGACGTTCACCCACGAAGATACCAACCTCAAAATAAAACACTTCATCGAACTGGGGGTTGTTGGTCTTCCGCTTTACTTTTGTCTTCTTTGCTTCCGATCTGTTATTGAGAGAGAAAGGATTGGGATTAAAGCAACACTGCTGATTCCAAGTCTCTGTCATAAAACCGAGCTCTCAAATGCACAAGTCACTTATTGCCTTTATTTATTTCATAAATATTTCTGTTCGTCTCCAGCTCCAGATGGTATGCAAATCCCGAACCTTTACCGAGACAAAAATACTCAGCACGAAGAGCACGAAGGCTTAGTTTTCTACAGAGCAATTTTGGAGCAATAAAGAAAACAAAAGGAAGTAAAAATTACATATTCTACCTCAAAGCGCAGCCTCCTGCCTCCTCCCAAATGAGGCAGTGGCCTCGTGATTTCAGAGCTGGACCCTCGCCCCCCAGGACCAGAACAGAAACCCGAGGCGTGAGGCCACTTGCCTGAAGGGTCCTGCCAGTGTCACGGTGGCGTAGGGGTCGCACTGCCCATTCACGATGGGGAGGCCCTGGCACTCGACGATGCTGAGGAGAGAAGCAGAGGCGGCGTCAGGAGTGAGCGCAGACCCCCGGGCAAATGACGAGACAGCTCTGGGTCGGGCAGGAGGCCTGAGTTCAAGCTGTGAGATGCGGTTTCCTCCCTGGAAGGCAGGGAGGGCCCACGCCAGCCGCTCTGCCTCGGTGTGACACTGAATCACGCTGGCCGTTCGCAAAAGCCCAAAACAACACCTCTAAGGCGAGCACGTGCTTTAGTGAGGACGCTGGGAGTATGTGACAGGACACCTAAAGCACTGTCGTGGGGGGAGCAGGACCCCAAAAACAGCGTCATCCTGGGGCCACGACCCCTAAAACAGTGTCATCCTCGGGGGGCCAGAACCTCTAAACAGTGTCATCCTGGGGAGCCACCGGCTCTGGAAATTCCTGTGCATTGGTTTGAAAACCCGTGTGCTCCTCGGGAGCCAGACGGGCCACTCGCTGTGTGCTCAGTCCCTGGTGAGGACGCGTCTTACCGTGTGGCGAGCTTGTGGCAGACGACCCCAGTGTCTGTGATGACCTCGCTCAGCCGCAGCTCCAGGTGCACTTTGCCCTGCAAGGCACGAGGACGGGGTGTCAGGGGCTGTGGCGCTCCCACAGGCCGCCAGGGTCGCGCAGCTCAGGGAAAGCCTAGAGGGCAAAGGGAGCAGGTGGCTCCGTCCCGCCACCACAGCTGGGCACGTCTGGTCCCTCCGCTCCACCCCCGGACGCAGGGTCCCAGCCGTGGCCTTCCTTCAGGAGAGCTGCCTGCCTGGCCGCTCAGCCCCATGTGGCTGCCCAGGCTCCCGGCTCTGCTGAGAGCAGGTCGCTGCCTCAGAAGTGAGGGGTCCAACCGTGTGGGAGATGGTCATTCGGTGAAGCAGCCCCCCAAAGACGCTGACGCTGCAGCTGCTCACGTGTGTCCACTGGGGCAAAGCGGAGGGGAAGCACAGCTCTCTCCTGAGCCGGGGCCACCGCCTGCCTTTACCTCCCCGCGGGCAAGGCCGCATGGAAGCCCGCAGGAACCTCAGAGAGCTCACACGGAGAGCAAGGCTCACACAGAGAGCAAGGCTCATGGGGGCTTCCAGCAGAACAGACAGCAAGGCTGCCCTGCGGGTCCACCTGTCTCTACAGATCCGTCTGTCTCTGCGTGCTGCTGTGTCTGTCCACCTGTCTGTGTGCACAGCTGTGGGTGTGTGTCCACCTATCTGTGAGTACGATTGTGTGTCTGCCTATGTGTGTGTGCAGTTTGTGTGTGTGGCTGTGTGTGTCCACCTGTATAAGCATGCTGTGGTGTGTGTGTGCCCGCCTGTGTGTGTCCACTTGTCTGTGCATGCAACTGTGTGTGTCCATCTGTGGATACTGCTGCGTGTGCAAGTCCACCTGTGTGTGTGTCCACCTGTGTCCGTCTGTGCATTTGACTGTGTGTCCATCTGTGCTGTGTGTGTGCAGCTGTGTGTCCTCCTGTGTGTGTGGCTGTGTCTACCTGGGTGCGTGCAACTGTGTGTGTGTCTGCCTATGCATATATGTGACTGTGTGTCCATCTGTGCTGCTGTGTGTGCGTGTCCGCCTGTGTACAGCTGTGTGTCCACCTGTGTGCAACTGTGTGTCCGTCTGTGTGTGTGGCTGTGTCTACCTGGGTGCATGTGACTGTGTGTCCACCTGTGTGTGCATGTGACTGTATCTGCTTGTGTGTACGTGTCCACCTGTGTGCAACTGTGTGCATGTTCACCTGTGTGTGCATGCAGCTGTGTGTGTCTGCCTGTCTGTGCATGTGGCTATGTGTCTTTGTGGGCGTGCAACTATGCATGTCCATCTGTGTGCACACGACTGTGTGCATCTGCCTGTGTGTGCATGAAACTGTGTGTGTCTGCCTGTCAGTGTCCACCTGTGTGTGCGTCCGCCTGTGTGTGTGGCTGTGTGTGTCCTTCTGTGCATGCAACTATGTGTGTGAGCAGCTGTGTGTGCATCTCCCTGTGTGTGCATGCACCTGTGTGTGTGTCTGCCTGTGTGTGTGTCTTCTTGTCTGTGTGTGGCTGTGTGCGTGTCCTTCTGTGTGTGCGTGCGACTGTGTGTGTCCACCTGTGTATGTGTATGTGTTGACCTGTCTGTACATGCAACTGTGTGTGGATGTCTGCCAGTGTGTGCACCGCCTGTGTGTACATGTGACTGTGTCTGCCTGTGTGTGCGTGCGGCTGTGTGTGCCTATCTGTGCGTGCCGCTGTCCCTGTATTTGCTCCAGCCTGAATGGCGCTGAATGGATGGAATGAACACAGACTCATCCATGCATCAGGAGCTCTGCCTGGCCCGGCCCTGAGCTCCTGCTCCTGAGGCTCCAGCAAGGCCAGGACCTGTTCCCCAGGGCTTGTCATTGCCTGTGGGAGGGCAGGAGGGACGGGCAGAATGCGTGGCACTAAGACGTGGACGGCAGAACTGACGGCAGGCCTGCAGCATGTGGCCTGGTGCAGAACCTCAGATGGAGCAGGGACCTCGCTTAGGCCCCATCAACCTAAACGTTAAAAAACCTTAAAGTTCCTTCAAAAATCTTCCAGACAACTAGACCGCCTTGAGAGGTAAATCACCTAATAAGAAAAATAAATAATAAAATAATACCCAAAAAGTTAGTCAAGAAATATTTATTCCCTATATAAGTTAAAAATAGCATCTTCACATATGCCACTAAGCTGTTTTTCAAAAACCCAGACCCTCACCAAACAGATCTTCCAACACAGACCACAAATGCAGGGGGGATCACAGACCCGAACCCCAAATGCCGAGCTCTGTTCTGTGGCTGTCCACGGGTTAAAGCAGTGCCCTAAACACCAAAAGACAGGAGGAAGTGCCTGGCCCAAGAGTAACTGAGAACCCACCGCTTCATCCCGTTCTCAAATGCCGGGCGCAAACTCCCTCAGGACAGAAGTGTTCAGATTAGAAAGAGGCTGCGCAGACGGAGGCAGCTCGATTCCTGTTAGGGAGTTTCAGGAAGAGTCACGCCGCATCAGGGGGGTCGTGGTCCCCAGCAGCAGGTTGTGGCCCCCGTGTGCTCTCCTGGTTCCTGGCAGCAGGCTGGGTGGTCCCCGTGTGCTCTCCCGGGTCCTGGCAGCAGGCTGTGCGGCCCCGTGTGCTCTCCCAGGTCCTGGCCAGGTCCAGGGGCACCTGGCTGGGCACCATCAGGTCCTGAGGCTGCTCCTGTTCCTGCAGCGTGAATCCCTCCGGACCAGCTGACTTGTGCGCTTCCGTCTTCTGCTGATTCGGGAGTGGGAACAAACAAAATCCACCCCCGGAAGGCCCTTTCTCCGGCCAGAAAAGTCGCTGAGTAAATCTGCAGGTGCCAGCGCAGGCTGGAGAATCCCAGAACGTTTAGAGGTTAAACGACACAGTTCTAAATAACACACCAATTGGAGAACACAAGACACACTTTAAAATGTTCTGGAATAAACAGAAATGAAAGTGTTACTCATCAAAATCAGTGGGACGCAGCGGGAGCCGTGCTCAGGGTTTGACAGAATCTGGAGTACCGGCCGCACAGACTAGAGCAGAAGGGAGATCCGAACCCTGACCTGAGATCAGGGCTGGGAGACTGAGGAAAATGAGCAAACTAAACCCAGAGCCCAAGAACAGAAACCAGAAGTCAGATCAGAAACCAACAGAGAAAAATCAAAGCCAAAGGCGAATTCCTTGAGAGATCAATAAAATTAATAAACCTCTAACCAGGCTACCAAGAGCAAAGGGAAAAGGCACAAATTCCCATAGGAAAGGAACGAGAGGACCTGGCTGCTGACCCCGGCACCTGCCTAGACGCTGCACTGAGGTCCCTGGCACTGCACTCCTGCGAACTCACAGACGTAGCAAAGGGGCCCAGCGTCCACCACGGCTGAGCTCCTGACAATGCGTGGCTGCAGTGTCACCCGGTGTCACCCATGGGGCCCTGGGCGGGGGCTACTGAGGGGTGTATGGAAACTCTGTACTCCGCTCAGTTTCCCTGTGAACACAGAACTGCTCCCAAAACAGAGTTAATTTTAAAAAAGCAGCCAGTGGTCCCCATCCATCTTTCTCAGGAAGGCCTTCCCCAGGGAGAGAGCAGTGCGCGGGGCCAGGTCAGGGTCCTGGTCCCCCCAACCGGCTGCTACATCCCCAGCTGGGCGGGCAGTGGCCCAGAAGGCAGCCAGGACAGAGGCGCCTTGGATGCAGGGCTGTTCCACGCCGGCTACAGAGAGGAGACAAAGTCAGCGGGCAGGTGAGAGGGGACACAGAGGCCACGAGGAAGGAAGCCTAGCCTTGGCCCTCTCCTCCTGCAACCCTGGAGAAACGTAAAAGCTTGGCCCTGGAAGACAGTGACTTTGTTTGCTCTGAAAATCCTTCCAAGAGGACTGTCTGCTGCACAAACACAAAATTCCCAGAGGCTGTAGCAGGAGGCTGGAATTTCTACCCCAGTCACTGATTTCATGGTGCAACTGGAAGGCTCCAAGGGGGAAAACACGCAGGTGTCTCTCGGGCGGACACGGACCCGGGGGTTTGCTGTGATCCCTCGCAGGGCCATGCTATTTCCTGAATACGTCACAGATGCACTTGAATGCCCGGCTTATAAAGGAGCTCAGTGACCCCCCAGGCGCCCAGATCACCGCGATGCCTCGCTGTCACAGGCAGTGCCCCCGCTGGCATCTGACGCTGACACTGCCCTGTGTCGGGGGAGGGTCAGAGAGCACAACGCTGCATCATAAAGTGATTTAACGAAGACTTTCCAACAGTGTCCGTTCCAGAAGGAAGCAAGAAAGGTTTAATTGTGTTTCCCCCACTTCTGCGACGCACTCACTGGCCTCCCCCGTGGGCCGCGTCTGTGACACTTACTGTCCAGCCACGGGACGTTTCCTGGGAATCAGAGCGGAGGGACTCAAGGAGCCGCACTGCCACCCCCCTGCCTTCCTGAAAATGGTCACTGTGACATTACGATAAAACGGCAGCCCTGAGACTGGAGCTGCTGCTGCTGCTTCTTTTGAGATGGAGTTTCACTCTTGTTGCCCAGCCTGGAGTGCGGGGGAACAATCTTGGCTCACTGCATCCTCCGTCTCCTGGGTTCAAGCGATTCTTCTGCCTCAGTCTCCTGAGTAGCTGGGACTATAGGCGCCCACCACCACGCCCGGCTAATTTTGTATTTTCAGTAGAGACGAGGTTTCACCATGTTGGTCAGGCTGGTCTCAAACTCCTGACCTCAGGTGATCTACTCACCTTGGCCTCCCAAAGTACTGGGATTACAGGCATAAGCCACCAAGCCCAGCCTGGAGTTGAGGTTTTAAAGGTTGGCTGGAGTCCAGCAGGGACGCTGCTCCCTGTCACGGCCACATTTTGGGCGGCGTTGTGGCTGACTGCGTCGGTGAAGCGAGCAGGGCAGCACCCGCCCGGGTCCAGCGGGCATCGGAGATCACTGACCCTGCCTCCTGCCCTTTAGACAACAGCTCACATTTGCCTTCCATAAAGCGCAAATTCCCGGGAGACTGACACCACTCGGTCCAGGATCCTCACGTTCCGGACAGTGAGAGCCAGGCTTGGAGGACGCCGGGCTTGGCCCTGGGCATGCCAGCCGCCTCGGGCGTTAATTATGAGAGTCTACCAGCCGTGAGATCAGCCGGCGGCATTCTTATTTACAGCTTCGTGGAGATGAAATGTCTGAGTCCTAATTGGTGTTGCACAGTCTCCCCTGTGATGACTATCACAACAGCCCATCGACAGGCGACCGGACCAACAGCACACGCTTCGCACCTCGGATCATTCCTCAGCCTCAGAAGGAAGGAGGTTCCGATACCACAAGCGACCTGGAGGACGTCGTGCGGAGCAACATCAGCCTCAGGAAGACCAGCAGGGCAGAGCTGACTGCCATGAGCCATGGGGAGGGGCCCGCATCAGAGACAGAGTGCGATGGGGCTGCCGGCGGGAGGAGGGACGGAAGCGCATGAATAAACCTCTAGCCAGGGGACAGAGGGGACAGAGGTTCCGCTTTACAAGATGAAAGGAGCTCTAGAGATGGGTGGTGGTGATGGTTGTACAATATTATGAATACATTTAATACTGTGCCACTGCATTGGACATTTTAAATGGTTAAAATGGTAAATCTCATGATGTCTCTATTTTACCACATAAAAAACTGGAAAAAATAGCATAGAACACACACAGAGAGACACACGCACAGAAGCATGTGCCTGTGAACTGGTGAAATCTGGGTAACGTCCGTGGATGGCACAGATGTGGGCGTCCTGGTTGGTGTTGCACCAGCTGCACAGGGCGGTGCCTGGGGAAGCCGGGAGAAGGGAGCACGGCCTTCCATTTTCAGGGCAAGGAGGGGATTCGCCCCTCGCCACTCCTGTGTACTATTTTGGTGTCTTCCTATAAATCTATAACCATTTCAAAATTAAATCAATCTAAAAAAAAGGCAAGAAAGAGGACAAGCTACACCTGCCAAAAAAACCAAACTTGAATCTGAGGAAAACGATGAGGCTGCACTCTGCCTGCTGCTCAGAGACCCCAGCAATGCGGGTATCCCAGAATAGAAGTGCCGGGGAACACGCAGGCGGGAGCGGCCCAGTCAGCAAGCCCCGCCTCCTCCCGGGCAGCACGTAGGAAGCCCCGCCTTTCTGCTGGGACGCCAGGGTCCGCTGAGCAGCGCGCTGGGGCCCTTGTGCTCTGGGGCTGCGAGGACAGTCATTAGTTCTGCAGTAATCACAGCGTCCTTCACTTTCCACAGCACGTGTGGGTTCCCCAGCCAGTGCTTTCCTAGGAAGCAGAGTTAATTAAGTGTGAAGCACAATTAGCACAGGTCCCTTAGGACAGGGCCATTCCCAGGGCCTCTTGGCTCCACTCCTTCATTTCCGTCCAGGGCCTCACCCCGTCCCCCTGGCTGGGCTCACCGTCAACTTCATGAATGAACCCTTTGCTGGCCATGGGAGTGTGCCCAGCCTGTGATCTCAGCAGATGGCAACCTCGACCCAGTGAAGCGCAGAGGACGAGGGTTCCCACAGGACACCAGGCCATCCAGTCCCCGGGCCCAAATCTGCCCTGGACCTGTGGGCACGGAGCCTCCATCCGACCCACCCAGTTGCCTCTGCTAAAGTCTCAGGCAAAGTTCTCACAAGGAACCTATTTTGGGGATTTGTCCCGGATGCCAGCCTCCAGGTGTAAAAATAAGAGTCACCACCACCACTTTACAATGTGCCATGCGCCATCGAGTGGCACACACGCCATTCCAGCCCGCTTCACAAACCCACCCAGATGGGGAAACTGAGGCTTGCAGAGAAGCAATCTGATGAGTGAGCTGGCTCCAGGCCCGGCGGCCTGTGCTGGGACTCTGCACTCAGACACACACTGAGGTCCCAGCCAAGGACCCACCCAGGAAGCCCTCCCAGGTTCCAGGGTCGGGCCACAGTGCCTCTTGCTTGTAGACTTTGCAGCTGCTCCATGTCATGGACCAGGGCTCAGGGTGACCCCACAGGAGCTCCTGCAGATTTGGGCTGGGCAGACTGACCCCCACTACTCCCTCTCTTACAGGCAAGCCTGGAGCAGCTGTTGCCGGGCAGCTGGGCACCGTGCGACCGTAGCAGCCGTGAACACAAGGGTCTGGGACGTGGGTCCCAGCACTGGAGCCCCTGGTCTTGCGTGGGGAGGTGGGACAAGCTCCTCCCACTGGCAAGGGCCAGGGCCAGCGCCAGTCGGCACACAGTCCCGGCAAGGTGGGGTGAGCCCCTGGCCACTTCCGACAATGGACACTCGGAAGACCAGCATGTTCTTTCAGCTCAGACCCTTCTTGGTGCCGAGTGCCAGGGAGCAGCCCATCCAGGCAACTGGGGAAGCGAGGGTCCCTGCGGGCTGACCTCGACTCGGCCCTTCCCCACTCGTGTTCTCTTGGCCCTCAATTACGTGTGCCTGTCCTTTCTCACCGTGTTGGTTTTTACGGCTGCCTCAGTTGCACATGACAAAGGAAAACCCAAAATCCCTGCACAGAGCCTGGGCGCGCTCCGAGCACAAGCAGGCTCATCGTTATTCCCATCGAGACCGAAGCCCAACCTACGTCTTCAGCCACAGTCAGAGCCGTGCGCGTCTCGAGGCCCCACGGTGTCCCGGGGCACGGTTTCCGGGGCTGTGCCGAGGGTCTCACCTGCACCTCCGAGTCGGCGTCCACGTGCTGCAGCTGGAACCAGGTGTCCCTGTTGTGGTACTTCTGCAAGTCCTCCTTCTGGATGGCCACCTTCCCTGCAACACAAGCAGAGGAGACTTCACCACAGGCACAGGCCCCAGAGCCAGGGCACCTGCGAGCAGAAGCCAGCCCATCATCACTGCAGCTCATTTCCAACAGCTTAATTCAGAATGGGGCACCGGCTGGGCGCAGGGCTCTGGCCTGGAATCCCCACGCTTGGGAGGCCCAGGGGGAGGGTTGCGTGAGACCAGCCTGGGCGATATGGCGAAAACTTCTCTACAAAACAAAAAGAATGAGCCGGACATGGTGGTACTGTATCCCTAAAAATTGATACTAAAAAGTCAAAATAATCAGGTGCGGGGTAAGTTTACGCCATCTCCCTTCCAGTAAGGCATTCGGGAGGCTTCGCTGGGAAGACGCGAACGTCCAGTCCATCGGCAATGCGCACCTCACTCTCACTGTGGTCTGTGGCCAGTTCTCACGGCAGGAGGCACATCGGAGCTTGCTGGGTGCACAAGAGCCCCGTTCTCACAAATGAACACCTCATGCCTCACACACGCGGCATCACGCCTCGAGAGAGACACGTGTGCACCTGTGCGAGCCACAGCTTGAAACACATGTGTGCCTAGAATTAGCTTCCGTGTGTGAACACGCACACATGTGTGCCTAGAGTTAGCTTCCGTGTGTGAACACGCACACATGTGTGCCTAGAGTTAGCTTCCGTGTGTGAACACGCACACACGTGTGCCTAGAGTTAGCTTCCGTGTGTGAACACGCACACATGTGTGCCTAGAGTTAGCTTCCGTGTGTGAACACGCACACATGTGTGCAGGCATGTGGGTGCTCGGGTTATTCGCAGGGAGAACTGACAGCTAGAATGAGCTGCCACCTTCCCACGTGACGTGGGCTGGTCTGAATCCGTGCCTCTAAAGTGTAATCCTTGAGCTGCCTTCTGGGACCCCTGGAGAGCCCGAAAGTGTAGATTCCTGGCCTTCTCCAGACAGAGAAGAACAGAAGCTCTGGTGTGGGCCGGAATCTGCACCACCACAGGTCCCTGGGCACTTCTGTGGGCCCCAAAGTCTGGGGACATCCACTCTAAACCATTTCCTGTGCCTTAAACAGATTTAGTACTTTGGAGCTAGACTTCCAATGAAAACACATATCAGAATATATTTGTACAATATACATTTACCTAGTATGGATTTATAGGTGTAAATTCGCATCTGTAACCATTATTATCTGCTCATACATTCACCTCATTTCAGAAACATTCTCATGGTGGGGATGCTCATCCCATCCCTGGCAGGACAGGACTTGTCAGGCACTGGGCACTGGGCCGTCTTCCATCCTGCGTCCCCTCGCAGCACCACCACGTCAACCCTGCCACTGGCCTCCGCGCACTGCGGACCACTCCACCTACCACGGCGAGCACCCATGCAGCACGTGCACCTCTGGCGACAGACACACGTGAATTCCCAGGGAGTCGCACACACGTGACGTCTGAGCCCATCGCAGAGCACACACAAGAGCAGGAGTGAGGAAGGAAATGTTGGCAGACCCCTCGCGTCTTCGTTCTGCACCCAGAAACACACACATCCTCCTTAAGGATCCTGGTCCAGTCACTGAAGCGAGAAACTCTGGGTCCTGGCAGACCCCGGTTCCACTGCAGCAGCCCCAGCTGCAGGGTCTGAGCACACTGTGCACAACCCAGGCTCCAGGGAGCGGCCTGGGCCTCCTACCCAGCCACCCTGCCTCACACCAGGACAGCAGAGCCCAGTCCGGTTCTCTCCTCCAAGTGAGATCCTTTTATATTTCCGCGTCTCAAAAAACCTCCGCAGGCTCCCATCGGAACAACCCCGGCCTGGCATCTGACAGTCTCACGCTTTGGCCTGACTCGCTGTCCAGCCTCAGTAAATTCGGGAACACTCCACTGCCAGCCTCTCACAGGTGCCATCTCAGTCAGTCCTGCGGTGACCCTGGAGGGGCAGGTCCCACTCTGCACACCCCGGAGACAAGCAGGCTGGGGCTGCAGGGAGACGGAGCTTGCGTCCCCGCCTTCCTGCCCGCATTCCTTCCTCCGTTAGCGTCCCCACCCTGCGAGGTCTCAGGACGCATCTTCCCTCAGGAGCTCCTCTACCCCACGGGCTCAAGCGCGCGAGACCTCTCAGCCTGACTGGTCCGTTCTGTGACTGATCTCAGAGCCCGTGGGCCTTGGCCGCCAGGCCCCTCCCTTGTCTGCGAACTCGGAGGGTCTGAGACATGCCCAGCTCAGCACCAGCTCCAGACCCTGTGGGACAGTGCAGGGTCGGCCACATGATGGGGGCACCACGTGGCCACAGGACATGGTGGGAGGTGCGGAAGGTGGAAAGAGGCACAAAGACGCTTTCCAAGTGCCCAAAGGACAGACGTGGAATCAGCACAGTTTGCCTCCAGTGCTGCTGACCCCTGCCATGCACCTCAGCACCTTCATCTCGTGTCTTCAGGGGAGCCGGCTGCAGCTCATACTGTCCACTCTGCAAAGCAAAGCAGCCCTGATAACAGCCCTGGAGGAAGCCCCTTCCCAGCTCTGAGACCCCCGCTCACAGCCAGGGCCGGAGCCCCTTCCCAGCAAACTACAGCTCCGGGACCCCTGCTCACAGCCAGGGCCGGCCAGTTCCACAGCCTCCCGCACATAGATACAGCACACAGACACTCGTGGGTTCATATGATCAGCCTCGTGACCTCGTCGGCTCAGCTCTTGACACACAGACTCACACAGACCATCTGGAGCTGCACGGGACGCTGACACCACTGAGGGCAGGCGAGAGCCAAGGCAAGAACGAAGGGGACCAGCGCAGAAAACAGGCCCCAGCACACGTGGGAGAAGGAGCACCGGGGAGACTCAGAGAGAAACCCAGTGACACACACACTCCGTGGACTCCCTCCAACGGCCTCTAATGGCGCAGACCACGAGGTTGGACGACAGCCAGGACACCTCCTCCTGGCCCGCTGCATCCCCCGCCCTCCCACCAGCAGCCCTGGGCGGGCGCCTTTGACTTTCCTACCACCCCCCAACCCTCCCAGCCCCCCCGCCCCCCCTCCCCCACTCCCACCTTTGACTTCAAGGGTCCCGAGTGGGGCTCTGTCCTCTCCTCTGATGACGGCTGCGTGGCTCTTGCCAAACCTCCCCTTTCCCCCACAATGCAAACCTCAGTTTTGAGTCTCACAGGAATAAAGCCACATGAAAGCAAAAACTTCTTAAAACTGAGTTGGGCAATATATTTCAGTGAAAAGGGAAAAGTCTTCAGACTCCAAGACTCCTTCAGCTGGACAGGAGGGTCAGTTTTGAAGTCAGAAGTTGTAAATACTTGCAATGTCACTGTGTCTTCACATTTTTATGAGCTGAAACTGGGACGGGAGAAGTCACATATTTACGTGGATAAGGATCTTGTAACTGGCACATGATTACAAGTCTTTATTTTTAGAAGTACTTCACTTAATTTTTTAATAGGTAACAGAAACAGAAAAAAATCCACAACATTCAAAAGGATTTAAAATCCCTTCAAGAAGGGATCCCTGCCCCTGCCCCCTCATTCCCGATGTGAGGTCACTTCTGTCACCAGCCCCCAACCTCTCCTTCTAGAAGCCAGCCACGTTCAGCAATGGGGACATGGGGACGTCTGAAGCATGCATGTTCCTATCTCCAGATGCTGACCTGAGAGAATGCCTGATCCAAAGGTCACGGCGTCTACTGAAATTTCTCTGATGTGCCCAATCCACAGGGTTGTCCCCACCTATTTGAGTCACACCAAAAAGTTGACCGAACACTCTGGGCCTCCCTTTCTCGCTTGGGCAAAGGTGGCAGCCTTCTCACCACGAGAGGCAGGAAGGGTCACTTTCTTCTGCTGCATCTGTGCTGGCCAGGCCCGTTCAGAAAGGAGGAGCCAGGGGTCTGGAGGGCATCACATGGGGAACCAGCTGCGGAAGGACCAGAAAAAGGGGAAACAGCCACAGGACACAACTCAGCGAGAGCCACCAGATGGGGAGCGCGGCGGAGAAAGGGAGAGCGCGGCGAGAGGCAAGAGGCGGAGGCGCGGGGACGCGGGGGAGCGGGGCGTGGGGGAGACGAGGGGAGGCAGAGGCGCGGGGAGGCAGGGAGAGCGTGGGGAGACGAGGAGGCAGAGGCCAGCGGGAGACGGAGGCCTTGGGGGAGGCGGGGAGCGTGGGGAGAGGCGCGGCCCAGACGGGAGCGCGGGGGACATTTGAGGCCTTGGGCGGCAGGCCGAGGCCTTGGGCGGAGGCGGGGGCGCGGCGGAGACCGGGGGAGGCGGGAGCGTGGCGGAGATGGGGGTGCGGCTGAGGCGCCGCAGCCTCGGGCGGAGATGGGGAGTGCGGCTGAGACGCACGCGCCTCGCTCTGACCCCACCTGTGTCCCAGCCGGGGCCACGAGAAAAACAAAGGCCACACAGATCCCAAAGGAAGAAAGAAAAACCTTTATTCACAGAATGTACAAAAAAAAATCTACAAGGAAAGCTAATAGAACTAGTAGTGTGTTTAGCAAGAACAGAGAATACAAAGTCAGTAGGGAGGCGTCAGTGACCATGAAAATTAAACAAAAACAGCACCATTCACAAAATTATGCTTTTAGATTTGTGTTTTTGGTGGACTACCTGAGAAATCTTTGACCACTCCATTAAACACATAAAACACAGAGAAATAAATGTTTTTAAATGTGCAAAACGTGTAGGCTGAAAACACATCACAAAATACGGATGAGAGAAATTGTAAAGACCCAGGCATGTGGAAAGATATACCATGTCCATGGCTTTGAAGACTCAATTTTGTTAAGATATTAATTCTCCCCGAATTATAGATCAATGTAATCCCAGTCAAAATTCCTGTGGGACTATTTTGGAAATTGAGAAGCTCATTCAAAAATACATATGGCAATTCAGAGGATCCAGAATAGCAAAACAAGTTTAAGAACAAATTTGAGGACCTTACACTACAACGTAAGACCTGCTAAGAAGACACAGTGATCAAGACGCTGGCACTGGCATGAGGACAGGGGGAGCAT